TAGGCTTCGTGAATGAAGATTTGGGAAAGGCTCTATCCACATTTGTTACAGGCACGCTGGTGGCTAATAAGGCCAATACCAGCATTCACATCCTGATGTTCAGTTTAAATACATACATCAGAGAAGATGAACTGATCTTTTTCCAGACTGTTTGTGTTCAGGTTTGAACACTCCTGTAGCTCTGGAAGAGGTGAACTAGAGCCTGCACTTTTCCTCTGATTTGGACCAGCACTACAGAGACGATGACACTAAGTTGGGAGGAGCTGATGACTCCTTTGAGGACAGAGAGGCCCTGCAGGGAGCCCTCGACAAATAGAGAGATGAGCAATCACCAATCTTAAGAAGTTTAACAAGGGCATGTGCTGGATTCTCCACATGGGACAGGGCAACCCTGGATGTGTGTATAGACTGGGGAATGAGAGGCTGGAGAGCAGTGCTGCAGAGAGAGACCTGGGGGTCCTGGTCAATGGCAAGTTGGATATGAGTCAGCAGTGCCCTGGCAGCCAGGAGGGCCAACCATGTCCTGGGGGGCCTCAGGCAAAGCATTGCCAGCTGGTTGAGGGAGGGGATTGTCCCACTCTGCTCTGCACTGGTGTGGCCTTACCTTGAATATTGTGTGCAGTTTGGGGCATCACAATATAAGAAAGATATTAAGCTATTAGCATCCAAAGGAGGGCAACAAAGTTGGTGAAGGGCCTTGAGGGAAATCCATATGAGGATTGGCTGAGGTCACTTGGTCTGCTCAGCCTGAAGAAGAGGAGACTGAAGGGAGACCTCATTGCAGTCTACGACTTCCTCATGAGGGGAAGAGGAGGGGCAGGCACTGATCTCTGTGGTGACCTGTGACGGGACCTGAGGGAATGGTCTGAAATTGTGTCAGGGGAGGTTTAGGTTGGATGTTAGGAAAAGGTTCTTCACCCAGAAGGTGGTTGGGCACTGGTACAGGCTCCCCAGGGCAGTGGTCACAGCCTGTCAGAGTTCAAGAAGCATTTGGATGATATTTCTTAGAGTGTACTGCACAGGGCCAGGAGCTAGACTTTGATGATTCCTGTGGGTCCCTTCCAACTCAGGATATTCTATGATTCTTCCCAGGAGAACTTTCTTACCAGAGCAGGTGATTCCAGTTCACACGCCATGCACCAGCAAAGCAAAGCCCAGCCATCCATGCCCCAGCTGAGCATCTTCATAATCACTACAGATGGAGCTCTTAGTTGATGTTGTCTTCTGCACAACACCTTTATTTGGTGAAGCTTCAACCAAAAAAATTCTTGCTATGGTGCTTACATGGGATGCTGAGGACCGGGACTTCAGTAGGATTTCTTGCTCCATGTGTAATTTTACAAGGGTTAATATCAAGTAAATTCTTCATCTGTCACAGGAAATTTGGTGACAGAATGGTTCAGGACTGTTCTTTGCATGCAAACATGTTCACATAAAATAACTGGGCATTTTTTCTTGATAAATCTGTTTCAAAGTCTGTGGTAGTTTGGTTAAGAGTAGATTAGAAGAACAAACTGATCAGTCTGATAATTTAGGAAGGGACACCACAGTGCAGCATATCAGTGTCTAGGGGCACTGCTCAACTAGCAGAAATTTATATGTACTACGTTAAATTACAGCCTATTTATGGATTTGAGGGTCTCTGTGTGATTAAATAGAAACTCCAACACAGTGAACTTTGAGATCTGATCCCTACAGTGAGGAAAAAACAACACACAGTTCCCACATTGGTTTGGCCAATTCCAACGAACTCTGCTTTGAACAATCCTTAGCCTAGCATTGTCTCAGCAGACTGCTGTGTCTGAGAAAAAAAAACCAAAACACTTCCCTAGCACAAGGCAGTTAGTGTAAAATTTAGTGCATAGCTATTCTGAATGGAATGTGCTTATGAATGCTATAATTGGCTCTCACAGGTTGTAAAGCCAGACAAGAATGTAATCCCATGATACAGGCTAAGGACCTTCTGCCAGTGCCCTCTGCCTTCTTGCAGCTGTTGAGTCTCTGGGAGACCCAGGAGCAGAAAGCAGCAGGACTGAATGGAGTTCAGTACATACCTGAGCTGGCTGTGTAATCCAAGCTTTGATGACTGGCATGATATACCACAGCTGTAAAGTCACCTGAAGCTCACCTCATTAGGCAGTCTCTGTTGATGGCTTCTGTCTCATTCTCACTGCTGGTGTTAGTCTAGCTTTGAATTATTAATTGCTGGTGGGCTTGATTCTAGGCACTGTTGTACCACCGTTAAATCAGGAATTATAAACCATTCCAGTAGAATAAAACCAGAACAGTGAGACTGGGGGAGTCAGGCACTTTCTGTAGTATCTCTGATCACAGCAGAGATTTATTAGCCTTTTGACTGGGTAAGCTAAAGCCATTGTTTAAGTCTACCCATTGGAAAAGCAAGAAAGCTGTGCCTGTGGTCGTTCATTTTTGCGTTCATTTGGCATTTGCGTTTTGCTGCTGCAGTTTGCATTCCTCTCTGCATGGCTCAGAGTATGCACCATCTGACACACTCCCATTCTTACACTTCTAAATTTCCCATAGATAAGAGAGTAAGACATGGAAGAAAATGCATTAAATACCCAACTTTCATGTGAGGCCCTTATAAATGATTCTGTTCAGTTACTGTCATTTCAGGCCTCTCAGAGTAAGTTTTGGGGAGTGAATTGGACAGCAATGCTCTGGCAGCTCTTATGCCACCGACTATTTCAAAATTACATCTTGATGAAACGTGTTGGCAATTGCGTGCACATGACCTCAGTTTTTCCTTCAGCAAAAGCTGGTGGCAGCCTGAACCATTGTTCTTTGTATTTAAAACAAATCTTTCAACTGGGAGCCAAAAAAATGCTTTTCAGTAAAGCTTTGAAAAATCATCAAAGTCCAGCAGCTTACAAAAATTTTCCATTGCCTGGCTGTTCACAAAGTAGAATAGAAATTGTCTGTATGTTTTGGGCAATCCATAGCTCCTGAACATTGTGCCTTGTCCTGTCAAATGAACTTAATGATTAATAATTTATTTTTTTTTTCATTTTTGTTGGTGCTTTCAGGCATTTATAGCCTTGGACCCTTCTGATTATTCCTTTTTATGACAATATACATACATGCCCAAACCCTGTTTATAAGGTGTATAATTTCTCAGTCTTTATTTTTTTTGCTGTCTCTCATTCTTTAAAAAGTTTTTTTGCCATGATAATATCAGAAACATGTCTCTTCCTTCAGAAACCTCTCATCAGCTCAGTCAAGTTTCTACCTTTTAATACAATTAAGGTATTCAAACCAGTGGTGTGGCTCCAACCATACTGTGGCAGCAAAGGGCTCATTTAAATTGGGGACTGTCAGATGAGCAACTTATGCTGTTTGGCTGGGAAAGAGAAGGGTGACCTTTCCGGTAGGTAGGTGTTAAAAAAATGGCACTTTGATCCATACTGTCTAAGCACATTTGTGGCATAATATACTCTGAGCAGCCAATAACAATAACAAGTAGGCTGTTAAGATACAGGTACTTTGCAGTTTTCAGTGCTTTTTACAGGGACTTTATTAAATGGCGTTGCACAAAAACCAGGCTGAAATTAACTCTATTATTTCATTAGCCAAAATTAGTAGCTTGACCAGATCTTAAAAAGCTTTAGAAAAAAAAATCTTATTCACTTTTTGATAATTTCATTCACTCACTCTGTATCATAACATAGACCTTGAGAGGTCTATGAGATACCTTGAGAGGTATCCTCATGCCTGGACTGGACTCAGACACATACATTTCTTTGAAGACATGGAGCATACTGTTGTCTTGTATGTTTAAATGGCTAAGTGGTTAATTTATTTCTCTTGCAGTTATGAAAGACAATATTTTACTGTCTTTTCGCTTCTACAGATCTTGCCTGGCTTAAAATTGGACTTCATTTTCAGAGGTTCCTGAATTTCTTCACTAGTTCTTTTACAACTCCCAGATGCATCTCCCCTTAAGTTGAGGATGCATACATATTTAGTTTGTTCAGATGTCCTTCCGTCATCTTTTTATTCAGTCCTTGTTCCTCCAGCTGAGTCTAGTAATTTTCCTGAATTTTCCTGTAAAAGGTTCTTTGATGTCCTCATCTTCATTACTCATTTTATTGCAAGCTGAGCCAAACTGGTATTTCAAATCTTGGTATTTTGTGTAAGTGTGATGTAGTGTATTTTGTCTTAATGGAAATATAGCATTGAAAAAGAATTTACATTTTAGCCATGGTCTTGAATATTAATGAGGCTTCTTTTACTCACAAACTGGAGCAGTTTGACAGCCTGGTATTATTTTTATCCAGATTTTCCCAGGAAGTTGGCAACAGTATATGCTAGAAAGCAGTTCTTCAGTATCTCATTCACTAAAATTGGTGGTTCATCAACAGTGTCTGTAATTTCTGTTTCGCTTGCACAGCAATAGAATTCAGTATGAATTGCAAATAAAAGGAATCTCAACATTATGCATTTTTTCAGCACATGGAGTTGAATTAGCTCTGCTCAGTTATATAACTCTTCCTATGTTGTAGAAAAATGTAAAGAATTTAAGCCCTTACCTAAGACAGATCACAAGTTGTCTGAAGTTATTTTGTCCTGTTCCAGTGTAGTTAAACAAGGAGCCAAAACATCAACACCCAAAGAGATGCTTTTGAATACAGGATTTAAAAATTATAAAATGTTAATGTAAAGATCAGACTCTGCCCCAGGTGAAGTCTATAGGTCTGGTAAAAGGGGCAGTATGGGTGTCTTTAAAATATATACTTTGTCTATTCGTGTTCCCCTCATGGACTGACATGGCTTAGAGTGTAAGAAAGAAAGAGATCGAACTTCTCATTTCCAAAGTCCCAAGGGCTACTTCCACAGCCAAGAATAACCAGAGCATAGATAAGCTCTTTATGCCAGGAGCTGTAACATGGCTAAAGGCCCTTATTAGTCTTCTCTACAATCTAGAGAATTTCTCTTGGCTGATTCCAATTTCAAGGGAATAATTCCACTTATTAGCCCTCTGTACACTACAGAATTTTAATATCTTACTTATTTTACAGAGCTGCAACAGGGTCTCTGCTGCACACAATTTAACTGTGCAAAACCAGCCTGTATATTTTAGAATATGATCAGAGTTTATTTTGTAATATAGTCAAGTTACGCTATATTTAAATCCATAGGATAATAATGATCTTATTGAAAACTTGGTACTAAAAATAAATGCTATTGGCAATGTGCCTAAATACATTAAGCAACTAGTTGCAGATTTTAATTTTAAGAAACTCATGGGTCATTACTTGGTTTTCTTTTCTTAATTATGTGACTGGCTTAAGTATGTCTGCTTTGCTGTACCCTGGCATGTTTTTTTAGAATATTTTCAGAATATCTTTGCAGCTCTTCAAGGTGCAAATTTAAACGTTCTTCAAACTCTCTTGCATGTTTATCTTCCTCTTGAAGGAACTTTTCTGTTGTTGCAAGGAAGGACATCTCATGGGGAGACTGAGAAAGGAACAGAAAATCATGGTTAGTAAAAGCCAGCAAGTACTACAACATGTTTGCATTATCAAATTCTAGATGTGAAAAACATCTTGACCTATAGCAGCTAGTAACGCTATAACGCTTTATACCTCACCAAGAAAACATGAAATTTGGCATAAATTTTTAAAGGCATCCATGTGCCTAAATGACATCGAGTGAACATGGTGTTTGATTATCTCTGATATTCACAGCACTAGAATGTAGATTTAGAATAAAAAATTTAAAGGTTCCATTAGACAGAATTGTGCTGCTGCAGAACCTCCAAATTCTTTGGATCAGCTACAGGTTATGTTAGTTATTTGTATAATGTAGACCAATGCAGAGGACAATAACCTTTTTTGGAATTACAAAATATAATTAGTGTTGGATACTGCTGACTGCCCTCTGGAATTTTAGCTCTGCTTCTGTGATGTGATGCTTTCTGAGGAAAGGAAGAAAACCTATGCTCATTTCAGTACTATTAACTCCAAGCCCTGACATTCTGGAGAATGTACTAAATTTTATTCGCTGCAAGTAATTCAGCTGAAAAATCTCCTTTCCATTTAATGAGCATTTAGTAGCCTTCGACATAAACCATACCAAAAATCAGCCTTAAAATGGTTGTTATAGGATGCAGAGTTGTATGAAGCAAAGGACATTGAATGAGTCTTTGCTGGCACAAGTTTTAAATTTTTAAGCAGCAATTTTTGTTAATACTTTTGCTAATACTTAAGATGCAGTCATTGGAATGTCTTTATCAAAAGAAATATGAAATAGTTTTTCTTTGCCTAAAGATACTATACTTGTTTAAATTCATTCAATGCTTATTTGTATAGATAAATACAATTTTATGACATGAATTTTTAATATTTGACTAAGAAGAAAACTTAGTATAGCAGCTGTAATATTAAAAGAAAGATTATTTTCTATCTTTATATGGTCATATATTGAGAAAAATAATTGGCATTTTTAATTTTAATTAAACCATATCTTAATAGTTTTAGTTACTGATTGAGTTATTAGTCTGGAATCTTGGGTTTTGCTTTTTCTAGAATTTAGAAAGGAGAGTTAATATCTCAGCACATCAAATAAGAATTCAGCTATTCAAATGTTCTGTGCTAAAGGCCAGTTTTATTTCACCTGTAAGCTTTTACTCTAGGCTCCATTGTATCAAAATGGGGTATTCTGTATTTCCACAGCAACTAGAGACAGATTTGGGTTTTGTTTTCAATTTCATTGAAAACTACCCTTTAGCAGCTTGTAAGTCCAAAAGATGCTACGTAGAGAAATGCTTTAAAGCACTATTCTATTCAAACTCTTTGCAGGAGACTTTGAGATGAAATTTAGAGATTTCCTATAGGAAACCCCTTTTCTTTTTGAAGTACAGCAAGTAAGTGATAGCAGGAAATGAATTCTGAATTTAATACCATCCTTCTAGAATGAGACAGGCTTCCTGATCTATAGGGCTCCTAAAATAAAATTCACAGATAAAGCAGAATCTTCCTTTTCTCAGTCCCTCCAAATTAGTGTTTTACAAGGATGGGGGAGAAAAATTTGCCATGTATGAGTAAGAAACTCAAAGGTATTGGATTACTATGTGCCACAACAGTCCTCTATCAATCCGTGCACTAGCAGGAATAAGAAAGAATGCCAGTCTTCTGAAGTTTAAGAAACTGGAGGGTTTTCTTTATAAACCCATGCATGATTTCCCATCCATAAATTATCGGTGTTTTCACATGAAGACTTTTTTCTGAGATTCTGAATGCCACGGCCATATGCACATGTATTCCTTCATGAGGATCACAAATACATCTCCTTGTGATGTTAGGACTCACTGATAGAGTTGGCAGTACTATTTTAAATTATTTGAAGAAGGCTTTTGTATTATGAAGAAGACATTAGATTTGGAGGCTTTACTTAAAGAATCACTATGTGTTTTGCTTACTGAATACCAGCTCTGAAATCACTGATTCAATACTGAGCAAATACTTGCAGTGAGAAGCATGAGAAATTGGGAAAATCTCAATTTGAAATATGAATTTAATAGGTGTCATCACCTAGAGAAAAAAAGTCATGTTGAACTTTTCCATATGGACAGCAGATTTACACAGGTGCTAGTCTTTGGAAACACTGCATCAAGTTACAAGAGATCCTTAGAGATTCATTATAACAATGCTTACAGTTACTGGCTTGTCATTGGGAACAGATTGGCCTCATGATCAAGCTACCTTCCTAAACTGCTAATGTCCTTTGCTTCAACTGGTACTTACTTTGACGTGTTTCTTCTTGAAATACACTGTAAACTCGAAATGAGACATTTCTGAATTCGCTCACAGTTGAGAAAAGAATGTTTATCACTTAGAATAAGCCGGTCATGGCTCCCCACTGAGGGTCAGACATCACAGACTATGATTTTAGATAGGTCCCTAATGCACTGTTTTTCATGCACTTTGAGAGAAGGTTTTATCTAAACAGGTCTAAAAGGCAACATTCCTTGTTAGCAACTATGCTTTGCTTTCCAAGCCTCTGGTCTGTTCTTTCATTATGTTCTTTATTGTCTTTACTTTTGGCATCTGAGGAAGAAAAACCATAAAGAAGCTGCTTTAATCCATGTCTCAGATGAGATTCATGGTCCCTAGTTTTGAATTTCTTCTCCTCAGATATCGCTTCTTTTATGTTTTTTGGTTTCCTAACAGGATCTGGATAGAAATGGGTTCATTGTAAGCTTTCCATCTAACTTGTTTGGGTAATTAGGCAACAAGAACTCTACTTTTTCATTTTCACACTGCAGCTGATCTCGTATTTCTTTGGTGTATACCGGTAATGAGAACCACCTTTTTGCCTCATTATTTTCTGGAAATGAAGAAGTGCACCTGACAGAGATGCATATTTCTACATATGAAATATGTCTTCTCCTTAAATAAGACTACCCAAAGTGGTTATGCATTAACTCTGAATTGCTAGGGAGAAGCCCTTCAGGAAGGGATGTTCTCTCTCAAAGACTGCCTAATTAATTTGCCGAGAGTTAATCTCTCATTTGCCCCATGAGTTGTCCCAGCATTCTTGGATGCACCTTCAGCAGGGCAGCAGGAAAGTTTTAACACTTGGGATATTTTAACATTTAGCGTTCAAATCACGAATGGTCAAACCCCAGTGTTATAGTCTTCTTATGCTTAGATGCTCCTACTTTCCAGAAAGATTTTGTAATACTGGAAGTAGAAATTGGTGTGGCTAATTTTAGTCTCAGTGTGACTAAATGTTTTTTTTGGGAGTCATTTCCTCTAACCCTACACTGCAATACAGCTTAAGCAGCAGGTACAGATGCCTGTCTTAAACATGCTTCTGCTCATATATGAAAATCAAATTTGAGATGGCTAGGAAATTGCTGAGTGACATAGGAAGACTTTTAGAGGGCCCAAGTACCTAATCAGCTAAGTAAAAGTAATACCGAAGAATGAGAGGCATGGACTACAGCATGCCTCACGGTAGGATCACAACTGTCAATATAATTCCTAATAATTTCCAGTGGTAGAATTTCCACAACTTTCCATTGCAATCTATTTATTAAGCAAGTTCCCATAATAATGCTAGAAATGCCTAATGCCTAATTTAAATTTTCATTGCTCCAGCTCAAGTCTTTCTTTTATTTCTAAGCCTTGAAAGAAAGAAAAATCATCTGTCCAGCATCTGAAAAGAAACATGAGAAGGTATTTGTGACTAAAAGATGAGGCAATCATTTTCTGAAATTGTTCATTTCAGAAAGAGAGCACAGCCCAAAGTGCTGTTCAGAGAAAAAGTATTTCCCTAGATTTGGAAATCCCTGAAACAAGAATTTTTGGAGTTATTTCCGGTGACTCCCAGCTGAGCTTCCTAGTTTATTTTAAGGCAAGAATTACTCTACACATGTAACCTCTAAGTAAGTATGTGAAAGGGCAGAGGTTCCAGTAGAACATTTACTAATCTTTGTCTGAAGACTCTCTACCAGGAGGAGAGATGTAACTCTTTGTCTAAAGCCCAAGAGACTGTTTTTTCCCTCAATACTGCAAGAGTAATTTTGGTATGTATCAGGACATCACCTGGAAATCCAATGTTTTCAATTTGTGCTACAAATATTCTTCAGAAAAATAGTGCCTTATAACATTTTCAGAAGTTCTGAACATACTGGAGATTTCACTTGGGTCCTGTCCCTGTGTCCTTTTCCCCACAAGTCCGGAAAACTCTGTCAAAGAACTCTGGTTTGCAACATCCTTTTTTCCCTCTTTCTCCTTGATGCAACGGCTTTCCATTTGAACACAGAACTCTAGAGTAACAGACTCTCGAATGATTTCAGCAATAAAGCTGTGGTATCCAATGTCAACCTGAGTGATGATTTTATTTCAGTGGTCTGAACCTGTACCTGCTTCAAGTCCAATGATTTGGACTTAGTCTCTGTACAAGAAATATCCCTTGCTTAATAGTTTTGTTATGTACTTTGCCCACACACCAACTGGAAAGTGTTTTCCCTATAATCTAGTCAATTGTCTTAGCATTGACCCTGTCCTGAGTGCAAGTTGGGAAAGAGTTTCACTGCAAAAGTGTCTCAGAATGGACATTTTTCCCAGGCTGGCTGAAAACAGAAGCTTAGGGGTCTCATATCTCTGAAACTTCTGACAGAAAAGAACTGGTGTTTAGCAGACTCTTCTGAAAAAGTCCAAACAATTCTTTTCATGATTAGCACTTTAAAGAGGAAAACTCTCAAGCCATGAGAAACCAAAAGCCATTTACTTAAAACTCCTGTGAAACATAAGAATATAAAACTGGAAGTGAGGTCAAACACTCAGGACTACGTGGTTTTCAGTGTTCTCAGGCTAGTGGGACACAGATGATGTGACCACAGTCAGTGAAGGGCTGCACTGCAATCCCTACTTCCTAGGCAGGCCATTATTATGGTGCTTCCTATCAACAGAGAGATTCTGGAATGTGGAAATAGTCTTCCAGCAGCCATGTCTCTGATAGGAAAGGATGTGTGTTTGCTTCCAAAGTGGACAGCAGAACTGGGATACAACAACCACAGACTGCTTGAAGATGACTGTTGGTGTCATGATGCCTCTTCGCTCCTACTTAAGGTGACAAGTGGCAAGAAAATTGCCTGTAAGTTCCCCCTAGTAAATGCTGAAGTCTTCCCTCTTCTACAAGTTCAGCCACAGCCCTGCAGCTGAGGACCTCCTGGTTACAAAGATCCATGTATCACAGTTGGACAGAAGGATGTTAACAGTTCATTCCTTACCTTGTTAGTTCCAATACTTAATGATGGTAGAGTTCCGTGGTTTGAGGTCAGGAAAATAAATGCTAAGTTTTCAAGTGCAAAAAAAATAGCGGCCTGTAGTGGAGGCCTAAGGAAGAATAGCAGATGCTAAAGAAGAGGATAAAACTCAAATTTAAAGAGAGATCTAAAGCCAAAGAATTACAAAAAGGTTTTTTTAAGTTGTCCTAGGCAAAGTGGAATTTGTGCCACTTGTCATGGAGGTTGACAATTTCCAGCCTATGAAGACTAAAAGAAAGAATGCTTTCATTTTAAGAAAAATAAGGATTACAGCAGTTATAATTTCTGTTCCTTTTCAGATAAAATAGCTAACATATAGAAAATAGTTGCTGTGATTCCTCTGATTTCATCCATCAATCAGATGCTGTAGAAACTTGACTTGTCTAACAGCACTTAAAGCAGTAACTTTGCAGGTATTATGGAAATACACTTAGAGCAGAGTGCTCTTACAGAGGCAATATGATGCAAAGTGCCTCAATATAGAAGCCAATAAGCTAAAATTTAGAAATCTTTCTCACAGTCACATAATGGCAGGTAATTATCACCATCCTTATTAGAACAGAGGTATGGCTCAGTAGGGGATGTTTAATCTCCAGAAAAACTACATTTCTGTTAGGGTAAGATATTTCCATTTTTGCTGGGCTGGCACTGTATAAATAATAATAATAACAAGGGTGATCTAATTTTTGGCTCCTCCAAGGCTGCACTTGGTCCACAGATGGATTTTTGAGAATGTATGTGTTAAATAGTTACTTACTGATAATTTGATTTCTTCTGATAATTTCATTTCTTCTCCACTGTAAGCAGGGCTCAGTAAACTGCCTGTTCTGCCCATTTTAGAATATGGCCCACCAGAGCCCAAAGGATACCCCACTAGTGGTGATGGAGATTTATAAACTATTTTCTTTTCATGACCTCTGTGAAGTGGATGAGAAGATAAAATGCTGTCACTTTTTGACCCAGTGATATTGCCTTGGCCATATAAAGCAGGACTACGGTCTCTGTGGTGTCCACTGGCAGGAAGCATATCAGTCTGTTGACATTCCATTTCTCCTGCATCTTTATTTTGGAATGATCTAAAAGAAAAAAAAATCAAAGTATGAAACCCAGTTAAAACTATTAAGCTATCACAGCAAAGTCAAAGGTTTTCGTTTTCTTTATTTACACAGTTTTGGTTATTTAGCTGTTCAAACTGCTTCATGCATAAAGTTGTGGGCATTACCAAGTTGCAGCAAATTAGCAACTTTCCACCTAAGTTACCATAAATGCCAGGATGTGCATTCTCTGTCTGCTTCAGCTGTGACTTAAATCACCCTAATCTAAACCCTTTCACTGGAGCATAAGTTGAGGAACCTTGTCTTGCCTGGTATAACTGTGTCAGGACAAGAGCGAAAATACAAACTCTCTTCAGGTATTGAAGATGCCAATACTCCTTAAGTGTTTGTTACCCATCCTTTGCTAAAGGTTATAATTTCTTTAGCTTTTCAGTAGAACAAACTATGGAAGCACTCCTCAGCCATGTCCTAGCTTATAGTATGATAGGAACTACAGTGAATTTAGCCAAACAAATAGAGGAAATGAAATATGAAAGTGTGAGATGAGAGACAAAAACTCTTATCAGTGGTTGGATAATTAGTAAATTTTGATCTAATGTCACCTTCAACAACTATGTTCACATAGCTAGAATTTAGAATAAATAAATAAAACATATTACAGGAATATTTGATCCTGCATTTTTACTGCAATGCTAATTTTGACACTAATTTAAAGACAACACTTTGGAGATTAATATAAAAAAATTAAATAGATTTTTAAAATAAACTTTCTAAAAAATTGTACAAGAACACGCTTTTGTAGCTATAAGTGAAATCTTCAAGCTTAAGAAAGAGTTTTTAAGTATTTTATTATGATGTTCTGTAACTCTTGTATTCGACTTAGAATGATCAGAATGATCAGAATTGATGTATTATATGATGTATATATATGTATTCATATGTATATATATGATGTATACATTTGTATTCGTTTGCAGTTCTGTAAAGCAAAAATTATTACAGTTAACAGCAACTTAGAAAAAAAAGACAGCTACTTTCTTCCCATTCAAAATATCTTCTTTCCTGATAGTTAACTGAACAATTCTGATACGGTATTGATCAAAGAAGAATTTTGAGTCTAGCTTGGTCAAATGTCTGCTGAATTGCACTAATTATCAATGGCATAATTCCTTGTATTATATATCAAAACATGCAAAAAAATTTATTTCAGATATTATAAATTTCTGTTACAATATTCTGACTGAGGTAAAAATTTCCATTGTACTGAGGCCTGTGCTTATGATGAAATTATAATCTTGGGAGGTAACCACTAAAAGATGATAGCTGTTTGAGCAGATTCTATCATTGCAAATATCCTAAAACACTTCAGTAATTTGAAATGCATCTATAAAAACTTTTAAAGAGCACGTTCTCTGCCACTAAAATATAATTGTTATAAATATCCAAAAGTATGCAGTGCTGCATACTTTTTTTTTCTTTTTAAATAAAAACAAGAACTTGCCAAGTGCAGGGAAAAGACTGTTTTCTGCAGAAAGATCACAACATCATTTTCTAATCTTAATTTAAATTATTTGGTGTTAGGAGAGGGTGGCTGTGCAGCCTTAATGGACCTGCTCGTATATACACCTTTTGCTGGTTTTGGCTGGGGTAGAGTTAATTTTCTTCACAGTAGCTGGTATGGGGCTGTGTTTTGGATTTGTGCTGAAAACAGTGTTTTCATTACTGCTGAGCAGTGCTCACACAGAGTCAAGGCCTTTTCTGCTCCTTGCTCCACCCCACCAGCAGGGAGTCTGGGAGTGCACAAGGAGTTGGGAAGGGACTCAGCCGGGACAGCTGATCCCAGCTGACCACAGGGATATTCCAGACCGTATGGTGTCATGATCAGCAATAAAAAGCTGGGAGAAGGTTGCCTAGGCATCAGTTGGTGGGTGGTGAGCAGTGACACCATGCATCACTTTTTTTGTATGTTCTGATATCATTTATTATTATTGTTATTTTCTCCTCCTTTTCTGTCCTATTAAACTGTATTTCAACACACAAATTTTACTTTATTTTATCCCAGTTCTTTCCCTGGGGGTGGGAGAGTGAGTGAGCGACTGTATGGTGTTTACCTGCCTGCCAGGTTAAACCAGGACAGCCCTGAAGCATGAAACTGAGTATTCAATAAATGGACTGTGTAGAACAACTCAGAGAACTAATGAAGAACATATTTTATAAATATTCTTTTATAAAAGAAGCAGTGATTAAGATACTCGAATGCTATGAGAAAGGAAATTATAAGCACAAAGCCATATTAATTATATTACTATGGTAATAATAATAATAATAATAATAATATACATTCTAACATAAAACTCTCTGAGACTATTCACCAAATCTTCCAGTTTTCTAAATCACCTAAAATGTTTGCTTTTATGGAGGCAGAGTTTTCTCCTTTCCTTCATGTTCTCTTTACATAAACACACTCTGCTCTTTGGGCACAGGAAAATACCTTTCTGCTTTCTTTTCCCCTCCCTATTTTAAAGTCCATTCCAGATATTGTTTGGATGAAGGGCACAGTGAAAACCTCCCAGAATTGAAGATAGATGGCATGAATAATAAAATCACAGATTTTTTTTTTCATCTTGTGTTCTGACCTTTTTGGAGGTAATTTTCTCTCTAAACCTATATACATATGAAGTCTGTATGATCTGTGTTCTTTTTTTCCCTTCAGAACTGCTTCTCTATGTATTTAATAACAATTACTACTGCTGTCTTATAGCTTACTTCATTAAGACCAGAATTTTCAGACTTGAGTGCCTACAGTTATGGTAGCTCGTAGAACAGATACTGCTCCCTTGAGTCCCCCCGCTCCCATCCCCCAAAAAAAGGACTGATTTTTTAAATGAACTCCACTTCCTACTGTAATCCATGCTGGGGCTGCTTGGTATTTTTGAAAATCATGACACCTACCCTGAGGTGCTTTGATATGGATACTGTGCCTTTACTTCACACAGTGTTTACAGATGGGGTTTAAATTCCTATCAGTTCAGTGCAAAATAATATCCAAGACCAGAGATCTACTACACAAATGTACAAGTAGGCAAATATCTGCAAATTTTTAAAAAACTGTCCACTTGTTAACACTAGCAATGCAAATACACTATAACTGCAGTTGAGTAATTCATGTTTTCAGTGGGATTACTTCATAGGGTATTTAACATGTACACATACTGCACAAAAATAATATCACTGTTAACATGGTGACATATGGGACAAGAAGTGAAAGAATTATGTCCTGACAAAGGGAATTTATATAAACAGGCATCATCTTTCCAGACTCATATATAAAATCAGCCTGGTCCCTATGCGGTCAATGACTTCAAAACAAATTCCTTGCACAGCCTGTGCTGGTTGACATAACTAGTCTTGAGAAAGAAAACAACAGATCTTTAATGACCAGAATGTCTTCAAGAATTTGTGTTGATGCTTCTACCTTGCAAGTCTAACTGCTAGCTACATTTTAAAAATAGATAAAAAGTATTTTCATGAAGAGATTGTTTTCACTGCTTCCACTTTATCTATTGCAATAACCGATACAGTGGTGAGTGTGACTAAGAGTGTGTGACCGCCAAAGGGTGGTGAAAACCTCCTTAGCACAGATACTCCACTGTCTACACACATCATTTAAGTGATCCCCAGCTACCTTAGCAGCCATTCAGTTCTCGCCTTTACCCTTCACTTTTGCCATATGATGAAAGTGCACTCTGGCTTGACCCATTATGTGTTTTGTGCATATTTTTATGGTAAATAGGTAGCTTTTCATTTGGGAACTCACATGCATATTTTAATTTTGGAAGAAACAAACTAAACACATCAGCTTCATCAGAGAAAGTCCTCTTCAACCATGCCAAAATATAAATCAGCTGTATGTGGCCAAGATCTAAATAAAGGATTGAAATCTTGAGGGTGGGGAAAGCTTATGTAAATGGCAATTAGAAGTAATGCAATTATCATATAAGAGGACAGTATTAAATTGCAGTGGTTACAGGTAGAATATGGGCACAGTCCTTTTTTAGCAAAAAGATGCTATTCCTGTATATCTTACTTTGTAATGTTTAGAAATTCACTGTACACTGAAAGAAAGAAGAAATTATATTGCTTTTTAAATTGCCAACATAACTTCCTGGAATTTCCTGTGTTTTCTTTAGAGGTCTCCTTTCTAAGTCATCTTGGTGCCCATACCCAGGATTCCAGTACTGATTGAGAGATATGACTGAAAAATACCATAGAATATATATATATACCCCTCCCTTGCACAAACACCATGTTTTCTATTTTTTTACTATGTAAAAAAAGTTTTTGTGCCCTTTCTCCAGTGCCATAATTACCATGGAAACAGAACTGCAAATTAAACCAGAAATAACAGGGTTTATGCTCACAATAAAATAAACATACCCCAGATTTTAACTCAACCAACATCAATTCCCTGGTTTATCTGCACACATTTGATGATTGAAAATTTAATTTTAGTTTTCTGGGAAAATCTTGAGGTAGTCTCCTGTCTGGGAACTGAGAACTGATAGTATAGAGAGGGCCCAATCTTAAAAAGACTGGCTGGCTGATGTGCATATAGAGTACATGTGAAATTTGCACATTTTTTGAAATCTGTGTATGTATTTATTTAGCTAGATAGCTTTTCATTTAGGAATTCAAATGTGTGGTTTAGATCCTGAAAACTAGGCTCAATATATCTGTTTCATCATATTAATTATAATTTATATTGTGTTCTGTAATGTGGCTAAGATTTCTGCTATGGGAAAGGTTAACTCTCCCAGTTTTGGTTCAACATTGGTCTTCAATGGCTATGAAATCAAAACTCTGCAAATTACGTGCATAGTTCTATTGTCTCATACATGTACATTCTCATAAATGGAATTTCACAGTCCCTTATGTACAAGTGTAAATTATGAGAAAAATGGGAAAAATTCTATTTTTTCTCACTTGAGAAGAGTGGAAGCATGAGCAAAAATTGCACTGACCGATTTTGGTGAAGTTATGAGACCTACAGATGCAGAATAATCTGTATCTTGGTTTGTAAATATTTGTTTCTGCAAAACCTTCAACATCATTTGTGTAGTGGGTTGTAGGAAAACAGCCATAACTGCCACTTCTGTTTATGTATATATATATGCACATTATGTATATGCATATCTATACATACATATAATATATCTATTTATTTATATAAACATGAATACTATGTCCAACACTAAACAACATTCTTGAAAAGGAACTTCTAGGCAAAAATATATTGTGATGGCACTCTATTTTGCAGAAAGAAAATCATTTTATATTTTGCCAGAAACTATATGTATGAGTTTGAAATCTTAATATGTACAATTTTGGCTCCAACTATTTCAACTTTGCTTCACAGAACTATTTTATATTAGTGCTTAGCAGGGACTTCGTTTTCTTTTTTTTTTCCTGCAATGCCATGAAGGTAATTCAGTGCCTCACTGAATACAGGGAAATAAGAAGAAAGTCATCACTACAATTTTTTCTGTGAGTCTGAGTATTCTTAAGTCTCATTATTTTTCCCTAACAAGGAGTTTACTGTAGTAATTACTTACTCAGGGCATCTGAAATTATGTTTCTTTTAAAAATCAGGTCACCCCGGAACACCAAAACCAGACAAGGCATTAAAATATATTTAATGAAACTTCCAACAAATTAAACTGGAGGGACACCAACCTTTTTAGCAGGGGACACCAACCTTTTTAGCAGGGGTTGTAGTTCAAACTGCTTATTAAGATAACCTCCCATGGAGCAGTGTACCTCTCATGTTGGTTTTTATATTCTTTCCTTGTCTTGTTTTTTTTTGGCAGTAAAAATACCGTTTGTCCTGTTTTGCAAAACCTGGAACTTAGGATAACTTGAGCAGCACATGAAAAGTTTTTAAAGTTGTTTCATGTGGTAAATACTAAAATAGGGATAAAACATTTCTGGAACTTCATTTATTGCCAAATTCCATCAGCCACCCAGAAAAATGTAGGAACTGCTTACAAATATACTAACTAGGTCTGATATTTATGTTGGTGGGAGTTCTGAATGAACAGAAACAGAAAAAACTTAACAATTTTACCCAAATAGATGCTTCCAAAACACTTACAGGAAGTTTGATATATGTACACAATCTAATCATTACCTCTCTTCCTCTTCTTGCATCTTTGAACGGATTTGGTAGTTGTGCTCTGTTTCTCCATATGTATCTGTGCAACCCAGTATTGATATTTCTCTGTCATTTTGTAGTTTAGCAAAACTATTTTCTAGTCTTAAATTCTCATGTTTCGTTTTGTGAACAGAAGCTGTGAAATTTCCATGTTCTTTGTTACATAAATCTATATTCTGTGAAAAGAGATAAAACCATCATTACGTAGTTATTTTTTCCACAATAAATGGGTGTATTTTTAACAAGCAAACACAAAACAATGTTCCATGCTAAAGAAAGACCTAGATAACATACATAATCACGCAACATTTAGAGCAAACCAAGATAATTGCCTCCAGAAAAAAGAATTACTGTAGATAAATGAAAATGAAAGAAAAACAGCCTCTATAACACAATAAAACAAATTAAAATTTCTCAATAAACATGCATTCAAAATATTATTGTTGTAAATTCATCGCTTGCTTTACAAAACTGATGACATAAAAGCAACCATAACAGCTATAGCTGCAGACTGTATTGCTCCCTCCAGTAACAATTCGTCCAAAAATAACAAGAAAAATTAGAGAAGTTCATTACTATAATAGATAGAGGGTATGTGCACAGGCACAATTTAATACCTGTGTTGAGATAGTCACCTTCAGTTTCAGAGGCAGTAAAGTAAAGCCACATTAGCACAGTGCATTTTGTCTGTTACTAAACCCTGCTTCTCACTGGGTCAGCCCATGTGGCATACAAGTCAAAATACTCAATGTGCACTGTGACCAGGGGCTAGAGCCGATCCACTAGGATACCAAGAAGAGACAATGGAGATTAGCTCTGGAAGTTGTCTAGCCAGGACACTCTGCTCTTTTTTTCTCCCGTTACTTATTCCATGAAGCCTATGCTGCACACCTGAGCTAGCTATTTTGGAACTATGTCTCTGCAGACTACTGCATTCAATTGTGTAATCTATTTGCCAAAACAGTATACTGTCATCAACAGGAAATTCTCAAAATGTTTATCAGATTGCATACAAAACACTAAAACCCCTTGCATTTTATTAAGTTGTTCTTTCATATATTTCTAGATTTACCTTATTCCTTTGGAACCCGGTAACTCATGAGTATTACAGGTTTGGTTCTTAGTATGCTGCTAGCAAAACTGCGCTCCTGCACCTCAAACCTTGTCTATTCCTTGCATTAACTGGTTTGATGCCACCTCTTCCTGTGAACCTTGCCTTACTTAGCTACTTTTAAGGGAAACTTATGAGCCAAGCTGGAATAGAAATGCTAGAAAGTATAAGAAAAATTAATATTTTTTGTAACGATGGGGGAGCAGGGGCTCAGCTATGTCTTGCAAGTGGGAGGAGTGGCAGAACAGAGGAAGAAGGAGAGCGCTAACTCATCCAAACAGTAATAGATCTAGAATCAGCAGTTAAGTTACAATGGCATGTAACCCCAAAACTGAGCTGGCACAGCTACATTTCTTTGGAAATCTAAACCCTGAAAGTAACCCTGCCTGATGATGCATTACACCATACTGACTTAGGCTGACACAAGTCTGAGAGGTCTGTGTAGTGCTCCACCGTACAGCACAAATGCATCCATAAAAATCTCCCCAATTCCTGGAATCTGAATATCAAATATTTCACAATCTGAATATCAAATTTTTCACAATCTTTATTCTTTAGATCCTCACAATACTTTAGTAAAGCAGGAAAGAATTATTAAGTCCACAAATCCACTGAAATGTATATTGACCTTGGTGTATGTAGTAACTGGATTTTACTGCTAAAATTTAAAAAACACGTGAGGCGTCCAAGGATTCTTGTCAGACAGCTCTTCTCAATCTTCAAGGAGAGTATCACTGTAGAGAAGAGCTAGACATGCATGCACACATCCATCTTTTTTTCCACAATAATATATCATATATAAATACACATATATCCATAGTAGAGTATATGTATATATAGGTAAGAAATCACTGACAGATATATATGCTATTTTAAGGGTGTGGATATACGTGACATTCTTTCATGCATTTGTCAGATACAGTAAGACAATTAACAGGCTACAAATCCCCCCAAAATGTATTTACCTCAGTACTTACAAACAACATTCCAGTGTTTGTTTTTTTTTTAATGATAGATAGAGTAGCTGCAGATGTTCTGTAAGCAGGGGGTGTTTTGAAGTTTTTGTGGTAGGCAGCAGGTATCTTTATAAACTAAAGTTCTACATAACCTTATGGCACACTTTTTATGAATTAAATTTTAAACATCCCCTGTTTGGAGAGAAACAAATACTAAACTCTGAAAATAAGTTGGGTGGAGCAAAATGTGTCAGTTTTCTACACTGTTAGGTAAATGACATATGAACAAAGGTATAAAATATTAAAAGGGGCATATTTTTGTGTCTATGAGGATGACTATCTAAACTTAAACAAGTGACAACACTTACAAAAAAATAGGCTCCCAGAAACTGTTTAGTGTCTAGACAGTTATTGAAAAATTTAGCTTATTGTTTAATACAATTAAGGTAGAAACTACTCCTAGCTATAACCATCTTCATGCTGTGCGTGAACACCACTTGGTTCTGATTATGTTGCACACCTTATTTTTATTTATTTACTTTATGCAAGCCAGAAATGTCTAAATCTGCCATGGTCTCAATCTACATTTACAGTAAGTATACATAACTGTTCTCCATATTTCATATATTAAAAAAAATTACCATGCAACTTTCATGCTCCTGGTTTTCCACCATCCCTTTTAGATGTGTGTTTTCAGATTTGATAACTTGGTATTGGAATTCCAATAACTAGGAAAAGATTAAATTCTTAGTTAAATACAAGAATATTACTGTTAACTCGAATAACAATGAATATAGATATTTCAGTTTAATTTATTTAATTTAGTAACAACACTTACTATAATATTTTTAAATATAGCAACAATAAAGCAGAAAGAAGCATTAAGCCATCTATAGAAGATTTACGAATGTCTCTGATTTTATTTACCTTTTTGAAAGAAGTAAAGACTTATGAAAAAAAGGAAGTTCACATGCGGTTATGAGATACAAAGAGGGACAGATTTTACAGGTCATAGAAACTGAATGAAATCCTAGTCATGATGCCTAGAAATGACATCTATTCTTTTAGTGATATGATCAGGAATGTGACCTAGTAAAGAGTGCCACACACTAATAGACATCTCTAATCTTCCCCAAACACTAACTTTCCTATTGTCAAAAGTAAACTATTACATTAATCACAATTTTCAATATGTAGTGACCCTCTCAGAAAACCCAGAGTCAACCAGAAACCTATAAATATAAAGGTTTTTTTGGTTTACCAACTAAATAATGAAGATAACATATTTGTTTTTAAAACTGTAATTTGCCATTAAAACACTGTCATCTTAAGAGTTTCCAGCTCTAAAATTACAAGAATTTTCTATGCAGATTTGTAACATTCTTCAAAGAGCTTTATATAACACTAAAAATTAGAAACTTTCTAGATAATCAAATAAACAGTTCTAGTGATAAAGCACATATAATAACCACAACTTGGAAGTTTTCAAGATCTTTTGCATGTTGAAATCTAGTAAGAAAAAACTGCAATTTGGATGTACAGTTGACATTTACTAGTGCTTTTGTATTCCAGTGTCAATTTGGCTGCTTTAGTAATACTACACAGATATTACAGCACTACTGATGAAAACTACATGAGAAATGCAATGTCTTTTTTTCACCAATAATGAATGTCATTATCAATAGCGTGGAGTAAAATGATGTAAGATGGTTTTGCCTGCTTGCATACCTGTTGTTTTGCTAACAATTTATCTTTTGTCTCTAACTCCATTTTTAACTGTCTTTCCAGAAGAGTAGCTTTCTCCATGATAGTTGCTATAGTGATCTCCTTCTGATGAAGCTCCTCTGTCAGGTCAGAGATTTCTGTCTTCATTCTTTCCCCCTCAGAGCAATGGGACTGCTCCTCTCGATAAATGTGGTTTCTTATCTGTAGCAAATACATTTCAAAAAGAAAAAATGTTGTGCAGTAAATATCATCGCATCACTTGCTACTTATCAGTGACTTTTTTTGCTGTTGCTTCCAAGACACCAACTCTTCTAACTGAATCAGAGATTTTGAGATTGTAAAAGAAAACATCTTCATGAGTCAGTGCACAGAGCTTTATTTATTTTTACATCTTTTTTTAACACTTCTCTTGTACTTTCATTTGCATATTTAGTATTATCAATGAACAAAATATAACATATTTCAATTAATGTTTTAAAAGAAAGTAATAAAAATAAAATATTGAAATTTATGGTAAATATGCAAGAAAATATCCATTCAATAAGCTTAAGTATGATTTATTTATATTGCTCCTAAGTTAGTTTAAAATAAGTTTAATGAAACCTAAATTAACTCAGGAGCAATATAAATAAATTGATCTAGAGACTCTTTAATAAGAAACTATGTTAGAAATAAAGAGTATATATGGTAAATCACTTCATGAGAAATTTTCCTGCCATTACATATAAAATTTAAGGTCAAACTTTCTGCAGTGTCTCCTGTGCAGAGTTCTTCAAAGTATCAACACAAAGGTTGTTTTCATAATCTTTCTACTACAACCAACAGTTTAGTGCTGATAGATTTTTTTTTATTGTCTAAGAAACAAAACTACAAACACCAGCCTAACAACCCTTAAACCCATTTTAATTCCTTGCAGTACTGTGCGCAATGAGTAACAGATGGCATTTCATTTTTATTTATGGAAACTGCACAGAAATATTAGAATTTTAAACAAAAATATGTAAATGCAAAAAACCTAAGAGCTTGATCACGATTGTCATGCCAAAATTCCAGCATCCAAGTCAGCTGCATCGAAACAGAGACATTCAAAACCCACCTGGGTGCATTCCTGTGTAATCCACTCTAGGTGACCTTGCCTTGGCAGAGGTGTTGAATTAGATGATCTCCAGAGGTCCCTTTCAACCTAAACAATTCTGTGATTCTGTGACTCTTGCTCACATTGCTACTCAGCAAAACCACGACATGCCTGTTAGATGAGTTCTGAGCATCCTCTACATTCAAAGTATTTTGGCCTGCCAAGGCATCCGCCATTCCACAGTGCCATGCCATGGCTGCTTGCTCACAGTGCTTCTGAAATGTGCTATGCAATGTGATGCGTGGTTCAAACTAAAGCGCTCTGCCCTAGACTGCATAGCAGGTACCTGATTAAGCTTAGTCGTGTGGGTATCTGCTGTACTAACTTGTATCAGTTGATGTGTTTGCATATCATGAGACCACCTACAAGCTACAACTTACCTCCTATAGGCTATTAATTACTCATAGCCTTGCAGGTTTTATTAGTTGCATGGCATTATCTGAATCACAGCAATGCTTAGGCATGCTCTCTCCCATTATTTCAAAGATGTAGGTAGTTACTGCACGGGAATCAGAATGTCAGTTTTACATCTACATAAATACCTCCAGAAAAGCAACCATATATGAAATCTTTTTCACATATGAAACCTCCATGCTCTCCTAAACCTACAGTGTATTCTCCTGCTCTCTTCTGTGTATCCACATACCCTCCTCTCTTCTAAAAATCCTACACTGCGGTTAAGATCTGGAAATACCTTGTTTAGCTCTTCTTGTTGGCGTTCTTGACTTTCTGCAAATAGTAATAACTCAGTGTTTTTATTTTCTAGTTGCTCAGTAAGTTGAACAGGAGATGATTGATGCCTTTAAACAAGAAATAAACAAAACATGAAACAAGCAGAACGTTCAATACTCTTTACCCTACAGTATCCTTTCCCCAGTTTAGCACTGTGGAACACCTGCTTGCTGATGAAAAAAAACAAACCACAACCAACATTTGGCCTAAACCAGGTGGGAGATGTCTAGAGGTTCAGGACACTGTAAGTATATACAGAAATAATCCTGAAAGCTCTTGTAGACTGGTATTTCATATAATCTCAAATGGCTACAGCAGATTAGACAAACCATAAAAACACAAACATTTTATTCAAAGGAGGTTATTTCCAAGGTGTTTTAATGCTGAGAAAATGAAAGACTGTAAACACATTGGTAGAAATATATGAAATGCGTTGATTTGTAAAGATCTCAGCATCATTAAAGCCTTTTAACAAAGTCTGCATCCACTGCCTGAAATCTTGTCATATATAATTACCAATGAAAATGCTCAGCCTAAAATTGTTTAGGATCTGATATTCGAATCCAGAGTATCTTTTTAAACAGAGTTAATGTAAATAAAATGAAGGAAAAAGTTATTAGCTCAGAAGAACTTGTTAATTTAAATACTGTCTTCAACATACATACTTCATTTGAATTTCCTGCGTATCTTTGTACTCTTTGATTTTCAATAATTCTGTATGCAACTGCTGGCATTCCAGCTGCATCCTTCTCCAGAGACTGTCCCGTGACTCCAGCTCATGTCTCATTTCTGAAACGTCTGCCTCCATATTCTAAAGAAACAAACAAATGCATAAACAGTTAAATAAAATTAGACACCTTAAAATGCTATATTGGAACACATTGTATTCAAGACCTGTATAATTTAAATGAAAGGACATACATGATTTCAATTTCTGAAAAAGGTATTGCTTTCCTGTCAGTTTCCTTCTTCAGAAATCTCATCTAAAAATCAGATGCGGAATATTCTTTAGCTCTTGCAATGTTCCAATGCATCTGTTTCTGAAACTATCATAGGAAACATCATTCAGAAGTTCTTTATTGTACTAAATACATCTAAAATACATAGTTTGCTTGTTTTAGCAGCATCATAGAACATGTTTCACATGCAGGAATTAGTACCATAAGTAGCTTCCTTTTTTTTTCTTAACGGTATTTCCAAATTTATAAGCTTGAAAAGTACAATGCTATAGAAATCATCTCCAAAACTAGGTCCATCTGCATGGTATTAATTGCTTATTTAAATGAACATCACAAAATTTTCAAAAAATCACAAAAAGATTTTTCTTAGGGACTTGACAAATCATATCTCTGCTTTACTTCTAATTTCTGATTGATAATGTGATAGACAACCTGAAGACATGTTACATTTGGCATAATAAAATATGAACTTCAAAGAAAAAATCAGAATTCCACAAAAATATACTGAAAACATATTAAAGACAAGGACTTGGAAATATAACCCACGAATAAAAAAAGTAGCAATAATAATCAGTTCTTGCAATAATAATATCCAGAGAATATTTATTTCTTGTCACCTAAGATCGAAAAGCATGTTCCAGATTAAAAAAAAAGGATTTTTCCAAGGAGGTTGATCCTTTACCTTTAAAACCATTGCACTGAAAACATTAGTATTTCTCATAATTTCTTAATTTTATTTGAACATAGTTTCCATCTTTAAAAACAAAAATAAAGCCAAGCCTTTGAAGTTTCAAAAGACAACTGGAATCCAGAAATGACACTGCAAGAAAGAACTTCAAAAGTTTATTTTCCTTAGAGCCTCATATGAGAATGACCTTCCTTTCAAGAAGCCTGTGGTTTTCTTCTGGCTGAAAGGGCTGCTGAAGACAGATATGAAGTGCTTTTACGTTGCTGGTTTTTTTTTGCAAGGGCTGTATATATGGATTAATTCATCTTATCCTTTGTTACATTAAGGCCAAGAGAGCTTTTTTAAACACTGAAATGCAAGTTGGGACATATGCAGGTGAAATAAAGCTTAATGAACTGTTAAAATTGTCTGCAAGACTTGCTTATTATCATCTTCATGACTTCAACATTCAAGAAATAGCCACAATTATTTTATAATATATGAACCTGGGAGACAGTTACCCCTCTGATTTCATTCTGGGGTGGATAAAGGAAATGAATTTTGCACAATTGTCAGGCAGAAGTCATATTGTCTTTGGCGGACTGTAGTCATCGTACATATTTACATAAATTGTATTTTCTTCTTTGAATTATAATAGTAGCAGGAAGAACAGCAGTCACAGCAGCAGTTGCAATAATAATTGAAACAGTCCTTCAGGCCAAGAGTTTCACTGTTTCACATATCACTTAAAAAATACATATATACACCACTTATTATTTTAGAAAATATTTATTGCATCTGGTTAAAACACCAAAATTAAAATTAATTTTGAATCAGAAAACTTCAGGTTTTGTTTAGAGAACATCAAATAAAAGGCAACTTATAAAGAGTCTATTTCAAGTTGAAAAATTTGCCAAACCTTCTCTTTTCTTCTGTGAAAAGTTTTACTTTGACTAGCTTGGCTCGCTTGATACCAAAACGAAACCTCAAAAATCTCCTGATCAGCTCTAGTTCTATTCAGTGCTGTTTTGTGGGGGGTTGACCCTGACTGGATGCCGGGTGCCCACCACAGCCACTCTATCACTGCCCTCCCCAGCTGGACAGGGGAGTGACATGAGAGAAAGGCTTGTGGGTCAAGATAAGGGCAGGGAGAGATCACTCACCAGTTACCGCCATGGGCAGAACAGACTCAACTTGGGGAAATTAATTTATTGACAATCAAATCAGAGCAGGATAATGAGAAATAAAAAATAAATCTCCTCAAGGAGAGGACTCTTTACACTCTTCCCCTGCTCCAGTGTGGGATCCCTCCCACAGGAGATAGTTCTCCACAAACGTTTCCTGTGAGTCCTTCCCATGGGCTGCAGTTCTTCACGAACTGCTCCAGTGTGGGTCCCTTCCATGAGGTGCAGTTCTTCAGGAACAGGCTACTCCAGAGTGAGTCCCCCACTGTGGAGTTACAAGTGCTGCCACAAAACCCACTCCAGTGTGGATTCCACTCTCCATGGGGTCACACATCCTGCCAGGAGCTTGCTCCAGCACAGGTTTCCTATGGTGCCACAGCCTCCTTTGGACATCCACCTACTCTGGCATGGGGTCCTCCAGGGGCTGCAGGTGGATCTCTGCTCTACCATGAGCCTCCCTGGGCTGCAGGGACACAGCTGCCTCTCCATGGTCTGCACCATGGGCTGCAGGGGAATCTCTGCTCTGGCACCTGGAGCACCTCCTCCCCCTCCTTCTGCACTGACTGTGGGTCTGCGGGGCTTTTTCTCTCACATATTCTCACTCCTTCCTCCTGACTGTAGTTGTGCAGGGCTCTTTTTCCCTCCTTAAATATGTTATCCCCAAGGTGTTTATGGCTGATGGGCTTGGCCTTGCCCAGTGGTGGGTCCATCTTGGAGCCAGCTGGCACTTGTTCTGTCAGACACAGGGAAAGTTTGTAGCAGCTTCTCACAGAGGCCAACCCTGGAGCACCCCAACTACCAAACCCTTCCCAATGCCAACGCACTGTTCAACATTTTAAATACAATTATATGATGTGTTTCTATGTAAATTAGTGTCTAGCAGTTTAATGCAGACTTTTCAAGAACCAAGCCCCCTGTGTGATGTTTTCAGACTGCCTCCCATGTATGGCTGCAGATAAGTTTGTCAGATAATTCATAAGGTAGAGAAATAGACTGCAGTGTCCATTTGGATTTTCTAAACTTCGTATTTTCTGTACAGCCAACAAACTGGTCTTCCATATATTTCACTTTATCACTTGCTAATTAATAGTGTGAAAGAAGTATTTAGCAGCACAAATGAAATGGTCATAGGCATAGAGGATATATGAGGCACAATAAATGTCTTGCTTTCATTGCCATCAGACTTCTTCACACCAGGATTCCCATCAACTGCTTCCTCCTTTACCTATATCATGTTCAACTATTCCCATCCTCCACCTAGCTCTCCTTCATGCAAACCTGCTTACTGTTTCTGGCTGACAGCAGCCCTCACACTTCCTTCTTTCTCATACAAACATTCCTTAAAAAAATATTTCCTCTGAGCTACCCCTTTTCACTATAAATTGACATTACATCAGTGTTTACCTTATGCAGCTATTTCCGAATGCAGTTTTTCTAATACAGCAGTGTTCCACACCACCAACAGTTATTCTGCAACTTTCTGCCCCTTAGGTAACAATGTTATGTACATCTATCTCCACTTCTACTTAAAACATCTTCAGTGCTTCCTACACCTCCTGTATTTTCTTCAGGATTCCAAAATTCCTCCTGTTTGAAGATTTTCTGACTTCTACTCTCTCCATCTTACAGCATCTATCCACTTGCTCCAAATGCCGTGGTTTGTTCCACTCTGTATATTAGTACCACTGCTTTTGGTGGCAGGCTTTTTAACAGGCACCAAAACAGAGGTTTTGCTGGTATACCAATAACTTGTATAATGCAAAAGACTCAGTGAACTAGTGTGCAAATGACATGAATTGGCTGTTCAGACAACATCTGAAATTAACCTCTGCCACATATACGCTAATTCCTATAAAGTTTATTGCATATGCTGTTATAACTCTGCGAGGCTGTCTATAAGCAGAAATGGATCTTTCTCCAGAAAGAGCTGAAGTTAATAGAGGCCATTCAATATATTACTGAACCTAGAAGTGCTTAAATAAATAAGCAAAAGCATAAATGATATATGCTACCAGAAAAAAATAGCAACGAAAATCTCATTCCCAATTTGTTTCACACACAGCTAATAAAAAAGGCTGTAAAGATCTTGTATTATCTCAATCTTGTCAGAACTCATGTACCAAGACCAAAAGAAGAGGCACAAATGGCTGTCTTCATAGGTCAGTGCTATGCTGAAAAACAGTAAACTAGGGGTAAGGTAAAAACGAATGGTTCTTTACATGGAGAGCAACTTAAAAATTCATTGACTGCAAATCTCCCCTCAAAAATAACAAAGTATACTGTACACTTCTCTATATACTTATTTACTAGCTATATGGCACAGTGTGCAACAAGGTATAAATCAGATAAAGAGATTTCATAGAAGTCATTTGAATACAAGGAACCAAGTGAACTAGGCTAAGTTCCTGGAGATGCTATGGATATAGGAAAGTTATAAAACCCTAGATAAACAGACAAGAAAAAATATACTACTACAAATCAAACCTATTTCTGATTTACTAAAAAAAAATCATACTTTTCACAGATCATTGTGTTCCTGCAAAGAATACACCTAATGTACAGATCTTTTATGTAGGCATCTCAATACAACTTTTAAAAGTATACTCCTAAGTAATTAATTTTCCAGCATTAATTCCACAGTTACCATGAAAAACTATTACTACCTGGCACTGGTTTTGGTACACTTTCAGATCTTCACGGAGCTTCAGATTTTCCTCTTCAAGTTTATTCTTGTTCCTTGCTATTTCATTCACAGTTGCCTTTAGTTTTTCAATAATCAAATCATCCTTTTCACTTTCAGGCTGGGCATAGGTAATTACCTCTTCTTGGGTTTTTTTCTTATTTTGTATTTGGAATTGATAATTCTGGGTCTGCTTCTATAAAGCAAGAAAATATTTTAGATTAATTCAATAATTATATGTAAATTGCTAGGACGAAACCGTTAGTACTGAAATCATAAAGCTATTTACATCTTCACCAGTATTTGCTTAGAAAAGGTGGCACAATTGACACAGTTTTAACTACTTCTCTAAAGGATACTTCCTTTTTTTTTGGTCTCATGTTCCTTGCCCTCAGTAAAAATATGTTTCAGAAACCTTCAAGGGCATAGAATTTTTTCAAGGATTTTTTCTCCTGTGCTGTGTATTTTCCTATGACTTAATGTTAATGATCCTCAAATGTGAAAAAGGTGATTATGATGACCTACTCAAAGCAGTTGCCTATAGAAAATAATTTGAGAGAAATGTTCCTCTTTGATTCATTGAAGTCAGTAGGAGTTGTTGCGTGTGTGTGCGCCTCAGGATACATATTAACCTTTGACTAGGGGGCTAGCATTACATAGTTCATGTATAAACAGCTCAGTTACAACAGGAACTGTACTTCTTTGAGACCATTATCCTTAAACCTGGGGAAGAATTATTTGCACATTCTGTAGAATTTTACACTTCATTCAGTTTCTTGTGCTAATTAAAATCCTAAAACCAAAACTTCAGAAAACTGGTTTTGCCACTATTTCTGAATTCACAGGCATTGTGAAGAAGCATAATTACTATGGTAACCGTTTTTGCTGTTTAAAAAACTATCCACATGGACTCCTCTACTGGGAGATTAACAAGCAGTACTAATCTTTCAGAAGACTGAAAATTAGTTGAAAAATGACAACAAAATATGATCTGAAAATCATATATCATGTGCAGACACCAAGCTGAGCAAGAAAATATATTGTAAAAATAAATAGGGTTACAAATACCATATTTCACTGACAAGGACTGCAAGAAGTCATGCTTTAGACAGCTTTTGATGTTATTGACTATGTTCCTGTAATTTGTGTTGGCTGAGAACCTAAGCAGAATGGATCATTGGCTGCATATCAAATAAAAAGCCAAAAGAAATTTGCAGTTTCATTCCTATAGATAACAAAATAAGGTCCCTTTGACATCTAAGTTATGGACTCTGACAAACCAAATTGTCAATACATCCTGAGAAAAATATAGTGCAAGACTCCAACTGGCAATCAGAGACCTCACAAAAGAGCAACTTGAGCCAAAGACACAGGAACAATTAACATTTTTGAAACAGTTAAGGGGTAACAATCCATCAGAACAGGTGTTCTGTTACAGTTGTGAAGAAAATTGTCTTCAAAGAAAGTTCACTCTTGGCAATGAGAGCTTCAACAGAAAAATGCGAATGATCACTCTGAGTACTTTATTTTTACTTGTCTAACTATATAATCAATATGTATCAGTCAATAGTTTTGTCTAGTCAAAGACTTGGTCTTTTAACACATTTGTACAGAAGTTCAGTAGTTGGAATATAATTCTCTCAGCAGCTAAACCCAAAACTTAATTGTCATTCTTGGAAACTCTGGATATGAGTAAAGATTCTCATAGGAATCGTTAAGAAAAAGTTTCACTAGATTAAGATCCAATGAGCTTAGTAACAGTGGAAAAGGGAATTACCAGTCAGCAACATAATTGGCTTCCCCTTACTTAATTTTCAAGGTGTCTTTTGGCCCAGGCAATTTGTGAGTTATTTTCTTTTTCTTTTTTTTTAGTGCAAGATAGATCATCAAGACATCATTAAATCAACATTTAGTTCTGGATTGGAAGGAATTAAAAAAATTAAAATATGCTGGATCAATAGGCTATATATAAAAAAAGTAATGAGCAAATTGGCAAGTAGAAAAGAATCACAAAGTCAACCAAGGACTGAATCATAACTAGAAAGCTGAAAAATATGTTAAAAAAAGGGTTAAGTGATCCAGCAAACAACTCCAAGAGTGATTCTGGAGTAGTATATGAAAATTCATTTTTCTGCATAAACGGTATTAGTATATATTTATGATCTTCAAAAAAATGAAGGCTAACAGATTGGAAGGAACTTTATATTTGAGTCAACATAATCATGGCACGTACTACTTGGTAAGAAACTTTTTAAATAACTTGTCATAATTAATTGCATATCAGTAAATTGCAGAGAAGATAAAAGTATCTCCACAATATACTTTAAAAGTAAAAAAGGAATATTCACTGGATTTTGCAGGTTTTTTGTTAGGTTTTGGGGTTTTTTTTAGAAATGTTGTAATTTTCATCATGATACTTATTCATTTTCTCATTTACATGAGAAAATTAAAGTAAAATAACTGTATGTATCATTAGATCTTCCAGTATGGGCCTGCCTTACCTAATGCAATATATTAATGACCAATATAGACATGCATTATCAGATTCACTCTAAGATTAATTTTTTTTAATTAAGTTAAAATAAGTTCTAGCTGAGCAAACAGTTCATTTTCTTCCTAGAGCAGGAAGGTAGGACTTTTACCTGAAATAAATTATATTTCTCAGACAATAATTTTTGTTGAGCATCCAAATAAACAGGAAAATTTTGGCAGATTGTCCCATTCTTATCCCCTTCTCTCAATTTAAATTCCTGAAAGACAGAAAAACAAGAGTAGAAAACATAGGGAAAATATCTCTTTTCCTTAATCTAAATATTTTTGCAATTTGTATAGTTCTAAAAAAAATTTAGTTTTTTAATTAATACACAATCTTTCCATAATTTTGGAAAGAAGAAAATAATAACAATTATATAAACCAGCCATCCAGTCATCCCCACCAGAAAAAAATCCAGTCTTAAGGGATATTAATCTGACAAAAATGGATGGTGAACATAATCCCTGAATAAAAATTATAAAATATATTATAAAACTATAGAAATTATAAAATATATAAAATATTTTAAACAATTGCTGTAGGTATTAGGCTATTACCATAATATATTCATTTTATTGAATGGTTGTTCCTGTGACTTTAAAGTTATATCAAGCAGAGTAATCAAGAGGGAATCAAATCCTTAATATTCAGACACATGTTTTGAGTGCTTGCTTTTTGCCTTCTTATTTTTCTGTAACAGATGGGTCAGCAGCTACCTTGAATAAATTTTACTTCTCGCCCTCTTTGCAATGGCTGCTTTGGGTTCTGAGTTCACCTAGTTTAAACAAAAAACTGTTTAATTCTATTACATCAGATTTATCTAATACTGGTTTTGTATTTGCACTTACATTCATATTTATAGAATATTTGAATTTGCTTTTAGATCATACCAGGTCTTATATGTTCACATGTTAAAGGCAGTATACTACAAAATAAGCAGGAGAACTCCAGTTACTAGAGCTGTTGCTCTTTTAGTTTGAAAAGTTAGCAAAATAACAGTATAATCCTTTATACAGTGAAAACTAATAAACTGTTATGAGAATGTCCTTTTTCACAATGGAAATGTTGTTCCAAAAAGACAGATGATGTTTTATAATTAACCTAAACTGGCATATTCCCCAAATTTAAAAAATAAGATTTTTTTTCTATGGAAACAAAATTGAATGCTTTTCAACACAGATTAATACAAATCTTATTTCATAGCTTTCCTAATATCTGCTTTGGCATTTAAAACAATAAATATCTTTCTATTTTATAAAACATGATACAAATGGAGTTTCAGACTACTTAATGAGGACTTCAGGTTCAAGGTCTTACTGCTGAGCTTAGTAGATTTTCAACACAGTAATTATTTCCTGAATACTAGAATTTGCTAAATATATTCCAAGCACTTATTTTTCATACTGCATAATTAATCAAATTACAGCATTGTCTTACATTATTTTCAAATTTTAATCTTGAATAAGGTTAGTCTCAAATTAGCTCGATCAGACAGTTTCACAGCAGTGATATATTTAGACAGTGATAGATTTATTATTCTTGTAGTAGCAGCTGTTGGCAGCTATGCTGCAGTCCAAATTGTAGTAGCTTTTCTGATGGTAAGAACTTCCATGTGGAAGAGACAGCAACATCATGAAGAACTACAATGTGTCCAGGATATCTGTGTGGGTGCAGTCACCTGAAGGTTGCAGAAGTTAATCCTGTACCTTATAGAAGAACATAAAAGACAGACAAGTCCAAAATAAAGACCCTAAAACCTTGCTTAATTACAGTTAAAGTACGAAAGTACTTGAAATCTACTACAGCGTAATTTTTTGATCATAAATTCTCAGTGTCCACATCATCTGCATCATAAATCTACATCATAAACATGTAAATCTTTCCAATGCTTAGCAGCTAGGCAACTAGCTCTCACTTTCAATTGATATTCCTCTGCTTGCTTTACCTACAGGACCGAGTTTGGTAAGCACTCTAAGCATATACTACTTTATTATGCTCTTTATAGAGGATGGCCAGAGAAAATACAAATTTTTTTTGTGATTTTCCTATGCTTCATCAGATTACAGGTTAGACTGTTCTTCCCATATGTGGAAGACAGTTTCATAATCCTTCCAGACAGAATCTGAAGTAGAATCTTCTCATGTTCATTTTCTACCCAACAAACATGTTATTTTTTAACAGGCTCTGGAATTCTTCCTTTTGAAGTTGCTTCACTTTGCACAGAATACCAGCAAATTTATTGGGTAAGCAAAAAAGAAGCAGCAAAAATTAGCACAGCTAGATATTATATCACTCAGTTATAAGAACTGAGACTGGATACCAGTTTCTGCACCAGTGAATGAAGCCAGACAAGTATTTGGGGAGAAGCCACCACTTCCAGGCACACTCTCTACATGCCAGTTCTCTGTGTTGCCTAACTTTTCTGCTGGTCCAATAAACATTTGATTATTCCACAGATTGTAAAGTAAACTGTAACTCTGAGAAGTTAAGGCTGGGAATTATGATCAGAAATAAGTATCATCCTGTATCCAAGAACAGGTCCACTACAATGCATTCTGTGTCCAAAGGGATAGGAAATGTGACTGGATTCTGTTCTCAGCACCTATTATCTAGTCCCCAAATCAGTATGCTGGATTCTGTGGCATGTATTTTTAAGAGCCTAATCCTTCCTCAGGCATTACCTTGGGAAACCAGGCACTGAGGTCAAGGTTGTGGATTGTCTCAGCTACATGGGTGCTGTCAAGATATATGTGCAACAAGCAGTTTTCCAAACCTAAATCTTTTTTTTCTATGTAACCCAACATGGTCAAGGTTGTCCTGAGGTTTATAAAACTTAAATTAATGGTAGGTATTATGTGACAGTACTCTGCATATGTAAAAGGTCTGATGCCTCAAGAGATCATATAATCCACATATACACATATACTAATCAGGAAAACAGTAACATTTGTTTATAGTTACTCTTAGAAAAAATTAATATTAATATTAAACTATGCATCTTTCTTGCCAAAGCAAGAAAATTATATAATTTTGTAGAATTATGAGAAAATTAAAGCTTACAACTATAAATCACAGATTAGTTCTAAAGGGATATTAAAATTAGAATATAATAACAAAGTATTCTTACCTCCAGTTTCTTGTACAAATTTCTTGGGTCAGATGATGTCACTAGGCTTTCCTCACATTTTTCTCTACTGTTGACCTTTTTGTGTTTTAGCTGATGTGACTGTAGCTTTTCATAACTATGTGTCAACTTTGAAAACTAAAAACAAAACCAGAGTTGAACATGAAAAATTCTATCAAAGATGACCACATGGCCAAAGTTTTCTTTAAACTAGAAACACCAACTGCAGCTTCAGCATTCTAAATGTTTAATCAATGTAACAAAAAATCAATTAATAAAGTTAATCTATTATAGATGAACAAGACTAAGCTCTCACATAAATGTTAACTAACTGAATAGGTTCATTTGACAGCTACTTAACTCTGCTGAAGTTCTTCATAGCAGTTACCCATAGAGTCACTTCCTTTATAATGTTTATATGGAATGTTCTATACTTGTTTACTGCCATCTTGTGTTGACATTTTTAAAGGATGCTTCACTAGTAAGAATGACAGATTATCATTAAACTTTACTTTAAACTTGCATGTTTCTTTCTTATAGTGAAAATTGTGGAAATGTTACATGTGTGATGATTGCATTCTGCTGGAATCGTTAATTACCGCAGAGTGTCTCACAGAATTAGACGCTAAACAGACAAAAGACGCTGCCTACTGATCCAACTAAGGACTCAGAGGAAAGGAGGTAGAGGTAGAGAAGGGAAGGTACCAAGGGAAGTACCAGCCCCTTCAGAAAAATAGCTGGTCTGATCAACCAGTTCATTCTACTGCACAAGCAAAGGGTCTCTCTAGTGGCTGTTAAAAGGTTTGATACAGAAAACTGACATTGTCTGGTAGGGATATGTACATTTGTTTTTGGAAAAAAAAAGCAAACCCAAGGATATTGACAAAGGAAACACTAAAAATATAGTTTTAAGGAAAGCTGAGCAAAAGAACTTTGTGAAGAATGTTGAATAGAAAAGAACCTCATAACTGTAACTACTGATTGTGTCTCTTGTAGATAAGTTCCTTTAAATTCAGGTATATATGACTTTAAAAATTCTGACTCTAACATAAAGTTCTTTGTATAACCAAACAAAATCCATAAAATCTCATATTTTTGTTAACTGCTCAAAGTGAACTACTGTTTGGAAAAGAAATTACTTCCAAGGAAGTAATTGGAAATGGAAAGGAATCCTGTTGAATCAACACGGACTGAACAATGAGGTTTGTGCAGATAACAAAGATGGCCAAAGAAGTCTAGAAAAGATACAGAAACTGAAGTAAAAAAATTGTATGTAAACTTCCTAGAGACATTTGAGATGAACTTGGGAATCATAATATGGGACAGTGTCATGGTTTGAAAATTGCCCCCCTGGGAGCCGGGGGGCCTAGAGGTGATTGGGTGCCAGGGCAGTCTCCCCTGGAGGGACGATCACTGCTCGTTTTGTTCACTCCTGTGAAAAATCATATATACACAACCGGCAGAAGTTGTTGGCAATCAGTCTGTCTGGCTGCTGCTGTGTCTGCTGCTGTGTGAGTGTGTGGGTGTGAGAAGGCCCAGGGGTGGCAGGGCCCCCTTTTTTCCCCTCCAGGGGGAAGGGGGGCCCTGCGGCCCACAGCCCTGGCTAAGCCAGGGTTGGAGGCAGCATTGGAGTGAGTGTGTGTTTGTGAGGCAAGAGACTCACAACACCTGAAGGTAAGCGGAAGAGAGGAGCCAAGCCCTCTTCCCCCCTTCCCCCTTTGCAGCTAGACTGCGGAGGGGGCTTCTTCTTTTCCCTCTCACTGTAAAGTGGAGGGGAGGCTCGGCATTGGAGCTGAGCCAAAGTGGACGGACTGAACGCAGCTCAGTGCCAGGGAGATAACCCCAGGTGAAATTGGAGACGGACCAGAGAAAGGCCCGGAGGATGTCCTTGCAGTGATTTAAACGGAGGACAGCCGAAAACTCAGAGGAGGAATGAAAATTCCAAGGCGCGTACATGTGATAAGCTGAACTAAACTACAGCACCACGGAACCGAGGTATGAGAGAGAGAATGACACAGCAGAGATGGCACGGAACCAAGGAGAAAGGACTCAGAGCTATCTTCTTGGACTTCGTGAGGAAGAAAAGACTTCAGCAAACAGTTGGAGGTTGGTGGGAACCTGAACACTCCCACAAGAGAAAGACTAGTTACCTATCAGCCTGAAGGGCTTTTCCTGGACTGAATTGAGGGAGAAGCTTAAAGGGACTGATAGAAGTGTGTAATATTATATATATAGTTGCTTTTAGCTTGTACAGTACTTATTTGTATAGTAATAAAAGTATATACTTCCCTTGCCCCCCCATAGAGGTGTCTGCCTGAAAGTTTCTCTTTGGTGTTGAGATAAAACTGTGGGAAGGGGTGGGGAAGCCTGGAAATTGGATTTTGGATTTTTGTGGTGGCTCAAACCACCACAGACAGAGAAAACTAATTGAAAAGTTGAAAAGAAGATAGATTGTTCTGGACTAGAAAGTTTCATGAAATGGGGAGGCCTATGGATAGATTTGACCAACTTGGAATGTCTGAATAGCAATTCTGTAACATGGATTTACAGAGCTGAGATACTGCCTTCAAAACCGAATCAGGAGTCTTGCAGAGTATCTGCCTGTATTTGAAGTTGACCTTGCCAGAAAACACAGTTAAGATAAAATATCTGAAATGAGTCAAGAGTATACAGGCTCAAACAACATGGAACTCATTGCCCTTGTGTAGGAGGCATGTCCCAAAGGTGCAGGAGGATGGCACCGAGGGCAGGGAAGCCAAGGGACATGCGCAGAGACTGACAATCCTATTGGTTAGAAGATCACGTGTTATCAGGGTATAAATGGAAGCGCCGATTTCAAATAAAATCTCTTTGATTACCATCTCACAGAGAGCGTACATGGTTTCTTTATTATATAAAGGCTAGCGACCTCGTGGTCGCTACACCCTTGGAAGAAAGATACCCTTTTGCAAATAACAGTTTTGCTCTTGATATATTATGGCATATGTGAACTGCCTGGGAAGAGCAAACTCAGACAAGACAGGTATTAGAATGTTCATGCTAAAAAGGTTAGGAAATACAGGATCCATCAATTCAGCAAATCAGTCTAAAATGGAACAGAATGGCCAAAATCAGAAAATTCAGTCTGAGTATTTAATGACAGTAGGATACTACAGACAGATTAGATTCTGGATGTTATCATAACTAGAAACTAGACTTAAAGCCAAGAATCCTTCCATTTAATGCTAGATATTCACTTTAAAACATCCAAGTTGTTCTCTTTGCATGTTTTACATATTAAAGAAAAAAAAACCAAACAAAAGACCAAAAGATGAGGCACTTTAGTGAGTTCTGGGATAGAATTAATCTAAGTTCAGGTTTCTGAAAGTTAGATATACAAGCCTGAGCTACTCTGCATTAGAAAAAGCTGCCTGCAAATGCTTAGTTATTTCAACTATCTTAAATTCTTGTCATACACTGACATGAGTTGTATTCTCGGGGTGTCCATTTCTCTCCATTGATTCTAAAGGGAGCCTGAGGTAGTTCACATGTAGCCATCTAGCTTTTAAATGTCTAAGCAAGGCAATTAGTTGCCAAGTGCTTAGAGCAAGAATAGATTCTTGTTCTTTTGCTGAGAGATTTCTGTCATTTTCAAAATGAGAATAGCTATGAGACATTAATAAAAATAAAAAAAGGAGGAGCAAGTAATGAAGATGAACCTCTAAAGTTTTTGCTATTGAATTATGACAAAATGTTATACATTTGAATGAGTGCAGCAGTGTGGCCTAGGAGTTTCAGGTTACATACTAGGAATAATTTCCCTAATACAAGAAAAATATAGGTATTACTGCATTCAACAGGCACACAATCAATTCAGTGGGACTACTGCTCATTAAACAACTGGTTTTAGCAGTACCAAGGAAAATAAGCACAGAGAACAGAAGAGAAATTTGTTTGAAATAGTCTGGCATTCTGATAGCTAGAAAAAGTGATCCTTTCTATTTCTAGTGAGATTAAGGAAGAACAAATCCTGGGAGCAATTTTAAGAATACATCTGCAGAGAAAGCTATAATGCTATTGGTAAATAGTAATATACCATTTGTGCAAAACTAAAGTGTAGCTCTTAATATTATACAGTTTAGAGGGTGGTATAACTTCCAAGTGATGATAAGAACCAAAAGAAGGGAGTCAAAGGAGATAAGGCAAAGATTAATATTGTCAAGGAAGCTCTATATTTTAGATATGAGTTTGTGTAAAAGCTAGAGACACAGAGTGGGAGAGTCCTGTCTAGCACAGGTGCTTGGAATTGTTCTGACAGGCAGACTTCTGTTTATCACAGAGAATCCAGGCAGACCTCCTAAGAGGCATTCAACAGTTTACTTCTTCAGTCAGTGTGTACAAGATGGGCATTTCATGAAGAAATATAGTTTGGTGAAAGGATAAGAATGGAGATCGGAAAATAAAATAGAAAGAGCATCAGTGCTGAAACTTTCGTCAAAATAAACAGGATGATTGAGAGAGGAGGAAATGTTTGGAGACATGGACTGAGAAAATGATGTATATTCTTAAGAGCTATAAATATAAACTTCTGAATAAAGATAAAAGAAGAAGCAATCAAGAAAGTCAAAGAAAGGTTAGATGGTCTAAGTGGTAACTACAGAGGAGGAGCTGGGCAAAAAATATAACCAGGTTCAAAGAAAAAAGCTTGTAGGTAGGAAATATCAGATACTTTTTTTCTTTTAAAAAAGAGAAAATGTTGTATTTGCCTGTGGAAAGAACCTGTAGGGTAACTCACAGCTTCAAAATAAAAATCTGTATCAAAAATGGCCTGGAGTTTTAATTTCAGAAGGTTCAATTTCATCGAAGATCTTAGCAATAACATGTAACATGAACCCAATCATTTTTAGCATGTGATTAAAAAAAATCATTAAGAAGTGAAAAATATTGCAGCAAATGTGAAAAAGGACAGGACAAGAGAGAGATATACTATATTTTGGGGGATAGTTCTGCATTGCTAAAGGTAGCTTACATCTTATACGTAAAAAGTCACACTGTTTTTCACTGTGTGATGTTTATCTTCTCAATAATCATGCTAAGATGTTTCTTTTTATGTAATTTGTGTAAATGATAAAACAGCTTTTATTTCTACCTACTCTCCCAAATGACTGAAAGTGTTAATTACAAAACAATCAAAGCATTCACTGCTTACTTACAGAACTGTTTGCCAAATCAATTTTCATATATAAAACAAAATATAAATTGAAGACAACATAACGTTAAAAATAAGTAATGCATTTATTTGTTTGATGTATTCAGGTGGTGTTATCACTTCTAAACGAAAATAATGATAGCAAATTTATGCAATCTAAGATGATTATATAGTAAGTGTGATGACTGGAAATTATAACACTAAGTATCTGGTAGGAGAATCCAGTGAAGGGAACAGAAAATGGCCAGAAAAAGAATGCAGAATTGTGTATGTTAACTTCTTCAAATGTGAGAGGCAGAAACAACTGAAGTTTCATAAAAATGTTTGATTTATGATTGAAGTAGAAAACAGTGAAGAAACAAAAATGCAAGTGGCAGAGCAAACACAGACAAACAGAATCATAAAACGATAGAATGGTTTGGGTTGAAAAGGATCTTTAAAAGATCATCTAGTCCAAGCCCTTGCCATGAACAGGGAGATCTTTCACCAGGTTGGTCAAAGCCCCACCCAACCTAGCCTTGGAATGAGGCATCCACAACTTCTCTGGGCAATCTGTTCCAGTGTTTCACCACCCTCACTGAAAAATCCCAAACTGTTCCTCAGGTTTCAGTTTAAAACTGTTGTCCCTTTTCCTGTTACTACAGGCCCTGATAGGAAGTCTGTCCCCATCTTTCTAATAAGCCCCCTTTAACTACTGAAAGGCTGCACTAAGCTTTCCCTGAGCCTTTTCTTCTCCAGCTCTCAAAGTCTGTCTTCACAGGAGAGGTGCTCCAGACCTCTGCTCATCTTTGTTGCCTCCACTTGACTTGCCCTAACCAGGTCCGTGTCTTTCTTGTACTGAGTGCCCCAGAGCTGGATGCAGCACTCCAGGTGGGGTCTCACTAGAGCCGAGTGGAAGGGGAGAACCACCTCCCTCGACCTGTTGGCCACATTTCTTTTTATGCAGCCCAGGATACAATTGGCTTTCTGGGCTGTAAGCACACTCTGAAATAAATAAAGCTCAAACAAATTCCCAGTATCATTAATCTAGCTTACTCCTGTTTTGATACTATGGAAAGCTACACCTTATGGAAAGCTATTAAACCACTTTAATAGTCCCTTAAAAGCAGAAAAATGTATAACAAAGACATAAGAACAGTATAAATCTTAAAATTCCTAATGTGCATCAGAGTCTTAATAGCATAAATCTAACTATCTGTTTTACTAATTTTCAGTTTTTGTTAGTCTGAAGTCAGGAAATCACGTATCTGTCTTCATAACAGATGTTACAATCACATCAAAATCCATCCAAGCAGTTTGGACATGACAGTACAGAAATTATAATGGAGCCTGGGAGGAAGTTGCGGTCATCATCATTTGTATGACACGATTCATCTTTCCCAAATCCATAACACTACATCTATACCATTTGGCATGTATAAGCTTTTTATAATACAATCACAAAATAATGAAATCGACATTTTTCTTACTTGAGATTTCAGTGCTTGAAGCTGAGTTTCGTAGCTCTGAGCCATTTCATATTTAGTTTTCTGTAAGTCTTCCAATTTTTGTTGAAGTAGTCCCACCTACAGTTAGAATAAGCACTCAAATGTACCTTTTCTGAAGTGTTTCAAAGTAGGTCATTTTTGGAAAAGTAATTTTACACTTTGGAAGAAGACCATTGCTTAAGGGAGAGATATTAAAAATATATTTTAATGCAGTAACTTAATAATAAAACTGGATACCACAAACCCAGATTGTGGTATCAACATCAAATCGAGGATTTTTATAGTAAAAAATCTCAGTGTATGCTTATGTTATGATTTAATGATAATATTGCACAAGGCTGTCATAAAAGATAATTTCTGAAAGTTTTTCTGACCCAGCTATATGAATGAACTGCTGTGCCCCATTGTGAAAAATTTCCTTGAACGGCTCTAATAAATCACATAAAAGACTTTCCACTACTTATGTACAAATTATTGGAAGACATTGTAGACTCATTTCAACCCCCTAACTACAGTGCCATTTGAGAAAACTTGAATTATTACTGAGTTTCACAGAGATCTGAGAAATATGACCAAATGCATACATTACACTTATGCTTTTCTGGAAGGACAGCTGGAAGCTAGGCAGAATATGCTAAAGTATTTCAGATAACATCTCTGTACAGGCAAATAAATTGAGGCTTTGAGGATTGGCTACCTGAATTATTCTCTTGGCTCCTCTGACCACGATGACTAAGGGCAAGTTCCTAATTGCTCATTAGGGAGAGTTACTCCATTTTCAGAACTGCCACTGGCAGTTTAGACACCCAGCTCACATAGCAATGCCCTTGTGTAGACACCTATATTCTGCTGTCTTGAACTGAATGCTATGCAAGGATTTCTTGATGCTTCTGAATGAATACTCAGCAGACAAGACTGTGAAGTACAGACAACACCAGGTACACTGTGGCTTTCAGTTTCGTAAGAAAGTCAAAGTAGTAATACAATTCAAATCTTCACAATGAATAAAATTGTCATACAAAAACAGTATATCATGTAAAATGATGAAAATCAGGTATAAACAGGAGTTACAGAGACATAATTTTGTGAAGCTTTTTGAACTGTACACTTCCATTTAAAATTTCTGATGAAACGAGAAGTGTTGGCATTTAGAAAAAACACATAAAATTATCTTTTTTACAGTTAAACTGAGGATATTTGATTTAGACTTTAGGGAAACAGAAGAAATACGAGATTTTCAATGACATTTTTACAATCACTTTTCAGAACAGAAGCACAATTTAAAACAAAACACTAAGGATAATTAGTGACCTTTAAAGGATGTTTGGCATTTTTACATAATAGAACAAACGGGTCTCCTTATAGAGCGTTTAAAGCATACTAATAAGTAAGTACCAGAATAAATACTTCCTTTATAGAACGTGATATTCTTAAATACCTCTTGACCTTTTTGATCCAGTTTGCTTTGGGCACTTGCTAATTCTTGATCCTGGATATCCATCTTTGCTTCTAAAGCTCTCATCTTTCTTTCCCATTCCAGTTGCATTCTGTTTACCATGATGTCAATTTGATGCACTAATTCCTGAAGTTCAGCTTCACATGGAGAAGGTCTAAAAACATAAAAAGAGTTTTATTTTTTCAAGAGAGAAAACAAATGTTTCTTTACCTTGCTAAAACTTTATTTTAATTCTGATGGAATTAACCACTTTTCAACATCAGAAAGAAACGGGAAAGGTAAATGATGCCTTCAAATGTAGGTCTAGAGTCAAATGCTCAACTTTTGACTGCACTAAACTGAAAAAAAGCTCCTTAGTATGGATATTTGTTTATCAAAGATCTGTTATATAGTGATTAAATTGTGCATATTCCTTGTTTTGATAATTATTACAGGAAATTGGAGCAAATTTTTTAGATTTGTAATGTCATAATTAAAACTCTACATGACTTTTTAAAGTCAAATTCTCTAAAACTTCTTTTACATCAACAAATCCTTGAAACTATAACATCATCAATGTTAAGCTTGGAAAGGTTTTTTAAATACAGACATAAATCTTAATGCCAAAAGGCATTAATGTTAAATGTTAAAACTGTTACCAATGCCATAATGCCATTTTGAAATTCAATATGAAAGATAGGATGATAATAAACAAAGCGCAAGCAAGTAGTACACTGTGATATTCGTGGTTCAAAATAAAACTACCCCCCATCCAAGTGCCTCAACCTCATCTCAAAAGTAGCATTAATGATGCAGTAAACTTTGATACCCTCTGAGTGGAATATAAAACAGGCTTTTGAAAACAGAAAACAAAGCCATACTGCGTCAGGACTACCTCTTCTTTGATACTGCTATAAGGATCTGTGCCCTTCCAGCCTCATGTAATGTCATGAGGCAACACCTTGGTGAACCACCAGCAATGACTCAGACATCTTATTTCAGCCTTCAGAAACAGGTACTTTCTTTACTGTGCATTACATGGATCATCTAAATATTATGCAAGTGCAAAGGCAACTTCGAGCCTAGATCATCAGATTACCCTTTCAGACCCTGACTGACACCTTTCCCTTTTAAATTTCACTTCTCTCTTTCAGATCATCCCACAAAAGGCAAATTCTTCAGCCCTTGCTAGAAAATTTTCTCTCAATGGTGCTTGCATGCTTACTGAACCTAGACCCACCAATATATAAAAGGGAGATGTTGAAAGAAAAATCCCTTCTGAAACAGCTTCTCAGTCTGTCTTCACTTTCTCTAATTTCTTACATGGATCCTCTAATACACTTGCAGCTGCAAAAGGACAGCTGTATGTGAAGAAGCTACAGATTACTGGTTCTGTTCCACTATCAAAACTACTCTGTACTGTGTCACTGGTATTGCTAACAGTGCTGCAGCTATCCCCACCTACTAGCATAGAGGTACTACTTGCTGCTGTAACTATTTTTTTAGTACACTGAGTGTTTTGAAAAGAATGCTAACTAGCCCCTTCATAATATGGCCAATCATGTGGTATCAAAATCATGAGAATTTATTTTATCACTGGATGTGGAATGCAGTGGTTTCTTTTGTTTAATATGCCATCAGGTAAAAAAACACAGAGACAATGAATTTGCTCATAAAGCAAAGAAGTATGCTTGGGTTTTTTTACCTGTATGGATACAGCATTCCCACTTTGTAGAATGCATACACCAAACGGATTCCTCATACAGGGAAGTAATGACTTGTACTTAAGCAAAAGGCAGCTTTTTTGGGGGGGGGTTCATTTACTTTGAAACAGCTCAAACCACTTAAAGGTAGCTCATTTTAAAGTGATGTAGGCAAGCTCTTAATCTTCTTTTATTCTGTTTCCATATAGCTGAAAAAATACATGATTCATATTCTGCTGTTATTAGTATCTATTTATCTTCATGTAAAACTAAATGTTTCCAACTTTAGACAAACCAAAATCCAGATTAAAAGTTTTACTCACTCCAGGCCTTTATCACAAATGATTTTTGCACTTATTAGACTTTTCTAGCCCTATTTATTTGTCTTTTGGAGTTCTGCATAGGTCTGTATTTTTCTCACTGTTTCCTAGTAGACATAGAAAGAGTATTATTGTCCATACACTTTAGAATAAAATTGTAATTTAGAAACTGCCATTTTAAGAAATGTCTTGACTGTCTGTTTCTACTTCATACCTTCTTCCCTTATTACTCAGGTTTGCTCATAAATAGGAAAATAAGTATGGCCGTATTTATCCAAACGCAAGCAAAACCTATGCAGTTAACAAATATTTCCATCTTACACAGAACATTCATTAGTTTTTGGTATTTAACTCAGGTTCTTGAGCCAATATTAATTCATTTTATTATTGTAAAACTTGCTTTAAAAATAGGAAATATGTAAATCAGTTGTAAATAGTCCATTAGAATCTTCTATCCCAAAGTTCTATTATAAGAACTACAACTAATTTATTCAAGAATTTTCAACCATACAGCATCATACAAATCTGTGGATGGATTATTTGTTATTTATGAGTCCTTACAGGTGCGATATAATTGTCATGATTTCCACCACCATTACTCAGCCATCTTCCCAAATTTTAAAGCTTCTGCATTATCTCTGGAATACTGTCAGCATAGACTGAAATGAATGTCTCCTTTCATTGAATGTGTAGCCTAAACTACTCTTCCAGATTCTTTGTATAGTTAATGGAAATAAATAACTACCAAGAATTCTGGTTTATGATGGGACAAATCACTCTAGAGTCATCTGCAATAGCCTAAAATTTCATATGTGTCGATTAAAACACAGGCAAGGCAGAATCTGACCTCAGGCAAGGCAGAATCTGACCTCTTGAAATAGGCTTCTGATTTGTAAAACAGTATCCAAAGAATAGCAATCTCTTAGTTTTTTTAATTCAAGTTTTTATATGACTACATTGACCAATCAATCACATGACTAACAAAAAAAATGCCACTCAAAGCAAAAGAAAAGGGCCACACCGCTCAGAATATAGTATTTTACTACAGCAATTTTTATCTATCATGAAAAGTGCATCCACTATTCTTTAGTACAACAAGGCCACTTTCAAATCCTATTAAAAACTTTCTTGGGCCAGAATAAGGTGTGATAAATTATGCCTGTTTCTATTATTTTAAGAAATACTTTTACACTTAATATATATCATATTACCTTGGACTGTTTCTTGGTATTAATGACAGAATAAACTGGTTAATTTGAAAAATAGGTAACAAGTTTATTTTCAAATTATGATAGATAAATATTCTGTTTAACTTATTATATGAGGAAATACTTCCTATATTTCTGTTTTCCTTGAAGAGGTTGGGTTGGTCCTATATTCAACCTCACTAGTGTTTTCACTTCTTTAGAAAGACTTTATGGTGTACTGACATATTTTTTTAGACTAACATTAAAAGAACTAATCTTGGATTATGGAAAAAAAAATAGACGTATTGTGATGGAAAGTGCACTTCATACTGGGGGAGAACAATTGTGGTTATTATCTGTGGAAAATAAGACTAGGGCTTTAGCAATGAATAGTCTTGGTTTTAAGATTTTTAATGTTTTAAGAGCTGTGACATGTAAGTTGATACTGCTGTAGCGTAGCAACTTCAGTTGTTTTTTAAAACAGTTTGAAATAACATTTCTTAACATCTTAATAAAAACCTACATAGCTTTCATTTCCCTCCCTTTTGTTCAGGTATGGGTATTTTAAAAATTTAAGTAACTAACAGAAACAGTGAGTAGAGTATTAGCTAAAGCAGTAAGATATGTTGTCTTAATTATCAGTAACCTCTCCAGTTTGCATGGAAATAAAAAGAAATTGAGCATCAAGTTTGCTTCTAAAAGCATTAATATTTTGTTTCGCATTTTTAATAAACCTACATAATTCAATTCCATCATATTCTCAACTCCCAAGACACTAAGTCATTACTTACTTAGTGACAGCTTGTTCCTGGAACAATTCGAAGGCCTCCTCCATAATACTGATTGTCGTTTTAACCTGTTAAAACACCAAAAATCAAGTAATTCAGATTCTTAAATGCATGCATTTACACAGCCAAGTAGTGCATACTGGATAGGACTACGCTTTCCTTTAAATCACTGTAATTTTCCCATTGCAAACAACAAGGACAGGGGAATGCAGCTCTAGTTACAGGCTGGAATGGGCAAGACGTAAACTTCTGGAATAAGCTCAGCTCTGTGACAGAAGCTCTCGCATTTGGTGCAGCACTGACATACTAGAGGTTGTGCTAGCCTGAGTGTAGCCCTGGATTTTCGTGAGGGACACTCTGAAACACATAAACCTAAATTTGCCATAGATCCATGGCTGCACACATCAAACATTTCTGCTCCTTTGCTATATCCAGGATATAATTGTTCTCAAACACAGTTTTAGACTCCTATTGGTTATTCACTCCTTTGCTTGGCAGATGAGGTCTGAAACAAATAGCCATCAAGTATCTCAGCAGACAGATCAGAATAAGGCTGTTACTGGGACCAGTCCAGTTCTGTGGGTCCAGCAGGACACGAGGATGTGGGGGCAAGCCTGTCTGCATCCAAGAACAGGAGCCAACCACACTATGGGTGATGGGATAGCATGAAATAGCCCTAATTCCTTGTGGGAGCGAGCAGTGGAAGCTCTCAAGAGCACGGGTACCAGTACACATGGATGTGCGGACACTGTCACAGGGCACTGCAGCCTTGGCTCCACAAGGACCAGGCACCTGAGGTGACACTGCCACAGGGGCACTGCCTGCACAGGGGACCCGCACCTGAGGTGACACTGCCACAGGACCAGCATCCCTGACTCTATTGGAGACCGACACCTGAGCTGAAACAGGCACATGGGCACTGGCTCCACAGGGGACCCATACCTGAGGTGACACTGCCATGGGGGCACTGCCTGGCTCCAACAGGGACCGGGCACCTGAGGTGACACAGGCACAGGTGCACTGGCTCCACAAGGACCAGCACCTGAGGTGACACTGCCAAAGAATCAGCACCCGTGACACCACAGAAGACCGACACCTGAGGTGACACAGGCACAGGGGCAGCCATGGCTGTGCCGGGCACCTGAGGAGACCGGGGCACCGACAGCACCCTCCGGTTCCTCGGACACCTGACGAGACCGGGACACCGACGGCATCTCCCAGGCCCCCGAGGGCTCTCCCTCCCCTGCCGTTACCTGCCGCGTTCCCTCTCCGCTCCTTCCGCACCCCCTGTCTCTATGGCCTCGGTACGAGCCCCGCAGCCCGGCCACCCGCTCCGCCCTGCCCAGTCCCGTCCCTTCCCATCCCTTCCCGACCCGCCGCAGCTGCCGCCCGTCCCGCCGCTCCTCGCTGCCGTCGTCGCGGTAACGCGGTAACGCGGCGGCGAGCGAGGCGGGAAGGCAGGGACAGGGCGGGCACCGGCTCCGGCCGGGAGTGGAGGGGCGCGCCCAGGGTATCCCGGTGTCACGCCCGGCGCCACTCCCGGTGTCTTTTGCAGGGCCCTGCGTCCCTCCAATAGCCGCCCATCGATTTGAAGGAAGCTGGAGTGAATTTCACCTCTGGAAATACCGCCCGGGGTAAAGAACGTGTACTTCAACATAATTTAAGAAATGGGTAGACAAAGTGGTTTGAGTTTTTTCTCCTCTTCCTTTTTTTCCCCTCTCCTTCCTCTTAAAACACTGTTATTACTAGATATTGAAAAGGCTGAATATTATTCTTTCCTTCCTGAATGACTAACTATGCTTTTGTAAAAGGGCTTCAAATGATTTTCTGGTTATTTTGCAAACGACCTCGACCTGATGACATTTCTCTTTACAATCTTGTGACCTTCAGTCTGTCTTATTCAACAATAAAATGCTTTTAGGAATCACAGCTACTTCAGCTTTTTATAGGAATAATTTCGGGTTTTTAGGTTTAGTGAGTTTTTCTACCAGGATGGTACTATTCACTTTGTACTTATTGTTCTGAAATTGCATGGACCATTTCCGGGAGCTGCTAGTCTACTTCTGTACACTAAATTTCAGGCTTTGACTTTGTTTTACTTAGTATGTTTACTGAAATTAGCCAAGTGAGCGACATTTTTAATATCAGTTCTAAGGAATAATCTATTTTATTTTGTTCCTACATACGGTGCTGAGGCAGATGGTTTTCATGTCAGTAGAAATGCTGTTTCAAGCTATGAAATATGAAAAATACCTTTTATAAATGAGAGACTAAAATGAAATTATATTCAGAGTTTCAAGAAAGTCACAGGATTACAGAATTGTTTGGAAGGGACCTCTGGAGATGATCTAGTCCAACCACCCTGCCAAGGCAAGATCATGTAGAGCAGGTGACACAGGAACTTCTGATAAAACTTGCTTACTCACTCTGGAAAATAACAGACAATTTTCCCTTGTAGCCTTTCTGAAAGATTACTAAAATATTTTTATTTTTGATTTACACTTCTTTCATGGCTGTGTGTCATTTCAGGAGTATCCCAGGAATACTAATCTCTTCTCTGACGAGTGACAGAACCTGAGGAAATGATCTGAAGTTGTGTCAGGGCAGGTTTAGGTTGGATATGAGAAAAAGATTCTTCACCCAGAGCCAAAATGCTGCTCCTGAGCTGAGGCCATCGGCTCCCAAAACAGCATCTCACAGCCCTGTAGCAGTCTTGACCCCCAGTAATGGCTGCACTATGTCAGAGGTGGCCTGGAGGACAGGCAGCCAGGCACCTAGGGAAGAGTGGAGAAAGTTGTGGGACCTGTTGTTGCACTCAGAGCCTTGAAAAAATTTTCTTCATTGCACTCTGTAATACTTCATGACACTTTTCTTTATTATTTACTTACTGTAATAGAATTAGTTTTTCAAATATAATTTCTTCTAATTGAAATAGGTTTGAGAATTTTTTAAATAGTGAAATTTGGGATGATTTATTTTAAATACATAACCTTAGGATGATTTAAAGTATTGTGTACTAGAAATAATTTTAATGTAACTTCTAGCAAATTTCCATTTGTTCATCTTCTGCAACTGAAGAGCACTTTTCATCCACATTTCCTGTGCATATATTTTAATTTCGTTCGTGTCTCATCCTCTCAGTGGTAATCAGTTATTTAGAAGTTTAACTTCCATCTGTCATGTATACATAGAACTGGGAGGGAGGCAACTTAAAAAGTACAGAAAAATAATTTTTAAATTACCTATCTGCATTTCAAAGCTTTTTAGAAGGACAATTCCACTGCCACTAGCCAGAGTTGTGCTTCTAACTCTCTGATGTACATTCAAATATCTCATATATTAGAAAAATCCAGTATCAAATTGATGACCTTTCCTATTTGCTTTAGCTCATCCACATCATCTCTTGACTAGGCCTTGCCTTATGAGACTCAAAACTTTTATTTGTGACTTTAAAGAACATTCTTTACACATGCTTTACAAAAGCCCGGGAAAAAAAAAAAAACAAAACCAAACCCAAACCCAGATTATTTTCAAAACAGTTTATAGATTAAAATAAATGAAAAGCTATAAGTGCATTTCTGCAGAAAAAAGAAGAAAGTAGATGAGGGCAGGTAAGGAACATAACAGAATGTGAACAAATGTCAAACAACGCAAGATACAACACTGATATATTTATAAAAACTAGGGGGACTAGGCGTTAGCTAGGAAGATGCCTTGCAGAAGGATCTAGACAGATTGGAGCATTGGGCAGTGATTAATAGGATGAAATTTAGCAAGTCAAAATGCTGGATTCTATACTTAGGGTGGTGACATTTTGGTACATTTCTAATACTAAAGCAATAATACACAATTTAATGTGGCATATTTTTAGAGCAGAATGAAAGTGGTGGGTGGCGTTAAGAGTAGCATAATGTAATCTAAGTGATAAACGATTATATACCTACCGGTTATTCTTCCTAGGTATTTGTCACTTTAATTCTTCCAGATGTTTGTTGGTTTTGTAGTATGAGACGTAATGGCCAGTAAAAACTAAATGCATTTGTGTATTTAACTTTAAATACAGTTTATATTTACAGGACATATTCATACCTTATTTTGCAATCTCAGATGACAGATTTGATTGAACATTTTGTTGCAGTAAGCTCAGTGTTGCTCTCATAAGAAACACTAATTTCTTTAGCATAGAAACCACATGGGTATAGTGATATTTATGTGATAGACTCATAGCAACTCTATGATAGTTTATTGATTGCATTCTCTGTGTCAGTTTGAATGTTTATGAACATACCAACTTAATTTCCTTATACAAAGGAAAAGGAGTAGCTCAGTATAAGCCATCAATCAACAACAGCGCAGAAGTCACTGAGAGGCAATTAAATCTATGCAAAAAAATCCTTAAGACATAAGCAATAAGAGAAGAATGACATTTTTAAAAGAACCTTTGCAAGAGGGATTTCTACTTGTGAAAATTAGATGGGCATAAAATGTGCCTGAAGATTCTGAATTGGCCTAACTAATTTACTGGCAGGAGTTGATAAATCCTGGCATAATACAGACATAGAGGAAGAATAGTGTTTCTAAATATTTTGTTTCTAGTTTAAACTGAAAACTACTCTTTTCTTAAGCAGCCTATGAAATCACTGACAGGAAGAAGAGAAAGAGTTTGGATTTAGTAGAATTTGCCAGGTAAACCAATTGATATGTCATACTGTAGGCTGGAACCTAGTCTAAAAGTGGAGAATTGTAAGAATCCTGTTAGAGGAAACCTGCAAATTAAGGGTAGTGCTCCAGGAGAATGCAGAAAGGAGATAAAAGTGCCATTAGACCTGGTTTTGTGAGACTTACAAGTTAGTGGTTCTGTATCAATCTCTAAGGATGACAAAATATAATCACAGAATCAATGAGGTTGGAAAAGACCCTTAAAGTTCATTGGGTCCAACTTCTAACCTAGCACTGACAAGTCCCTAAGCACCGTATCCAACACTTCCCTGTGCAACCTGTTCCGGTGCTTGACAACCCTTTCCATGAAGACATTTTGCCTAATACCCAGTCTTAACCACTCCTGACGCAACATAAGGCCATTTTCTCTCCTATTGCTTGTTACTTGGAAGAAGAGGCCGACCCCCACCTAGTTATAGCCTCCTTTCAGGTGGTTGTAGAGACTGAGAAGGTCCCCCCTGAGCCTCCTTTTCTCCAGACTAAACACTCCCAGCTCCCTCAGCTATTCCCCATCAGACTTGTACTCCACATCCTTCCCTAGCTGTGTTGCCCTTCTCTGGACACGCTCCAGCACCTCCGTGTCTTTCTTGGAGCGAGGGGCTCAGAACTCGACACAGGATTCGAGGTGCAGCCTCACCAGTGCCAAGAACAGGGGGAAAATCACTGCCCTGGTCCTGCTGGCCACACTATTGTTGATACAGGCCAGGATGCCACTGGCCTTCTTGGCCACCTGGACTCGCTGCCGTCAACCAGCATCCCCAGGTGCTTTTCCACTCAGCAGCTTTCCGGCCACTCTGCCTGGAAGGTTGCATGGGGTTGTTGTGACACAAGATCTTTGTTGAATCTTATTTATGTAATGCTAGATATTGTACGTGCAAAAGGACAACCTGTTTTTTAATGTTTGCTGCTTAGTTTTACTGGAAACTCATAATGTTTAGCATTCCTGCAACATCTTTTAGTATGGTATAGTCTTTCCTTTGTAGTTATTGCTACTGAAGCATAACAATATTTTGTGGTTTAACAGCATGTGAATGGTTTCTAGTGCTCTATAGCCAAGAATATTTCTGGGTTAACTTCTTTTTACTTATAAATTAAATTAAATTAAAAAAAGAGAAAACATTCTTCAGATTGTGCATTTCATCTCTTGCGATATATCCTGCCACAGTTGCTTCAGTTGCTATATTGTGCCACACCAACATAAGGATTTGTTAAAAATTATCCTGGTTAAAATAGGCAAGTTACAGAAAAAATATAAGCTCTCTAGAAGCATGAATTTAACTTTGTATTTTCTGAAGGGATTACAGGAAACAAATTGTGCTTTGTTTTCATCCTGAATTTAAATTATGATAAGTCTAAAATTTAATTTTCAATGGCACAAAATGTGTGAACAACTGTAGAAGCTACTTTTGGTCACATTTAAATTTGATGACTGAAGAGTAGATAACTGGAAGTTTTGTAATCTTGCATAGATTTAAGATTTTCCTTTTTTGAAGCAAGTACATTAAGTGAATATTCTGTTGAAATAACTTGCAGAGAAATAATTAACAGTGCTGACATTTAAGGTGTCAGCCAGGGTTTCAGAGTTAGCAACTGAGGAGATGTCATGGGAGT